CAAGATCCACTCTCTATTTCCTGCCTTGTCTCAGCAGTTGCCGAACTGAAATAATAATTTGCCTTTACCAGTCATGTGGCAGCTACCAGCTTCGTTTGGCACGCCCCTTCGTAGCTTTGGTTTCGGATAATCTTGGCCTAGATTGTATGTTCAAGAATGTACGTATTGTGATGATAATCTTGTTGACGCGACTCAGTCTCAAGGCGATGTATTTATTCCCAATTTCCGCACTCGCGTCTACAACGGGCTGTCCAAGTAAACGACATTGTCGCGATACTTTCCGTTCACTTACCGGTGCTTACTTCCTTGGTTCTTTAAATCGCCGTTTTCCTTGTTTTTTACTATTAATAACGTTCTCATCCATAGCTCCACTGGCCGGATCCAACCTGAACAGCGTGTCTTGGTGTCTACAAATGAACAGTGCCTGTTGGCTTTCGCACATCCGCGGCATCGACTGATGGGATGTGTCAACCTTCCCATGGACGATGGGGCGTCATATGCTACTAAGCACTGAAGCCACAAGACATTAACTCATCTCAAGGCCACAGTGACGTTGCCTGCTTGCCAGTCACTTTTCTCGAATGCGTGCTTCACGATAAGGTTATCTCTTCGAGGCTATGCACGTACACTCGCTAGAATCGTTGTGTATGTTCTCCGCTGTTCCATGTCCACACACTACTAATGTATGCATTTGCTAATGTAGCAATTCACATCGTCGGGACCTGCCGACTGATTGTGAAGTCACGCGCTTCGGCATTGCCCTTATTTCCTCTCCGAGTCAATCCGCACAGTTATTATAGTGTTCCAAAGAACGTGTCGACTTGCCTAATGGCAATACGGCGATTTTGTGTTTTTGGAATATATTGGTAAGTTAAGGGAGCCTATTTACTGTTCGGGCGCTCATGTTACGCTGACTCAACATGAAGCAGGTTTCTGTATTTGGTGATTGTCAAGTATTGCCTTCGCTGCTTTGAAATTCATATCAATAATCAAGATGCAATTGGCTGTAATTGAATTTGAGACCGTCAGGACACGCAGCACACACTGACGGTCACGTCAATTTCGCAATCAATCGGCACCTAAGCTACTTTTTGGATCCAGGGATTATTGCGACATCACCCTTGGATCAGTCACCGCACGGCATACTCATGCTTGCCACTGGCACAAATCCAGCAAGGCTAGCTATTGGATTAGCATGGTTCCCCCGGTCTTCAGTTCTAATTCCATTCGACAATGCTAATTACCTGTCAGCTCGCACAGGTTTCCGCTTAATAATCGTTGGCGCTCCGTCCCAACTATAGCGCCACCACTCTTAGCCTGTTGAATCGGACGTAACTCGGAACTATGTTGGACAAGCGTTAGACAGCTGCGGTGCTTGTAGACCGCGCAGATGAATCATCCCATCCGCAGACAAGGTCAGGGTCGTCTATTACTGATCTTTGGTGTATTAAAATGAAAGTTGCCGACTGTCGCTCCAGATCAAGTTGTATGCTCATTCGAATTTTAATTAATTTTATGGCTATCTGATGGGGCCTTGTCCACTTACGTCCCGTGCCCACTCGCTCCCGCCAGTATGGCTAGTCAGAAAATGATTTGCCGAATTTAGCTATCTGGCGGGCATTTCCATAACGCCCCTGCTCTATGGAGATAGAACAGGCGCTTTAGATTCGAGTACCAACCGCAAAAAGGAAGGTTGAGCGGCATTGTTGATTCTTGGCAAGTCTCTATCCAGGATCACAATGGCGTGCACACGCCTGCCAACCGACCTCTTCATAAATGAAACCATCGATTAAAAACGATATGCGGCGCGATACGAATGTGATTCCCAGGGATGTAGTCGTTCATGTCAAGTGCCATGAATAGATTCTGGCCTAATTTCCCGTAGAAGCCAATAAATAGATGATACACACCGCAATCAGGGTGGCTGGGGTGATTGAGAAGTGCGTGATTGGAAAGGGATGGCGAGGTCTACGGCAACGCAGTATGAATTTAGAAGGTAAGTAGCACGGTTGGTGTGGGGACCTGCGGGAGTGGATTTCCGATCCATAGATATGAAAGTGCGAGGTGAAACTCTCAGGGAGCTTCTCGAGGAATTCTTGATTTACGTCGCTTTGCCACCCCTGGCGCGACTGACATGCGGTGACAGGATGGAGCGGAAGCCTTTCCTGGGTAACGGACTGATTAGCTACCGTAAAGAGGTTTTATGCTGCAGGGAGGAGTAAAATATCAGGCTGCAGGGAGCCGAGTGCCTCGCGTTAGGAAATGAGTGGTGTAGACGACAGATAGATCAAAGAAGGTAGCTTAGGCACAACTATGTACCTAAACTAACGATATCTCTGTGAGTATAGAAGGCAGCTCACGAGATCCCTACCTGTGCAAAATAAAGCACGAAGAATACTCTGACGTAGAGATGCTCTTCGAGAGGGCTAAAAGGGTAGAGCATCCGTGTGATTTGCAAACCCGTTACGATGATGATAACGTAGATGAACGTTCACGGCTTGAGATCAGCTGCTGTTAGATCGGAGCTTCCGCACAAACCTTAGATCAGGCTCTAGCCTGAGATGGTACTAGCTGCTGCCTGCCGGTGCTTGAGAACCATAGCTCTCCAAAAGAGCAAAGATTGTCGAAAAGTGTTCAGTAGCCTCGTGCTATGACCACCGAGCATGACTCGGATAATGTGGCTATACCTTTCAATTGAAAAGGACCTCGTCCAGAGGATAGCCATTAAGGAAAGCTGGTACCGAAAGATCCCCATCGAAGAACTGGCAATCCGGCAAAGTAGGATCAACAATAGTACACAGGTAAGGCTTCTCTATGATCGCAAATGAGTTTCGCTAAATCGTTCTCTTGACTCCGTATCACTACCAGGTTCGTCGGCGGTGCAAGGTTTCTTTATGCTGTACTAGTGGCACTAAGGTTGCAGTACTAGATTCTCGGTTTATCATCTGCTCTCGTTTCGTAGGCTGTCCCTCCTTCACCTTCAAGTTCATCGCCGCTCAGAACTGCGGTACTCATTGGCAGAAGTTGACACTTTTATTGTCCTCCATCGCTTCTTCTAACAAAAACATCAATTTGACGAACACTCACGATTTTTGAACACGACGTGACTCATTTGAAGAGCAGTGCACTCTGGCAGCAATTTGCTCCACAGCCCTCGATCGCATTTCCATACAACTTTCTAGGCCTCGGTGTCCCGCCGTCGACCAACGCGCTCCCCGCGATTGTTCCATTCTCAGATCTTTTTCCCCCTCAATTGTAAATTACATTCACAGCCACACGATCACATCCGCTTAAGGTACCTGAACGCGACCGCTTGCCTTGTGCGCGAACCTGGTGATTGTCCTTGGTATGACCAATAATTTCCAACTCAAATCAATTCCCTTATTTTAGTGTTCTCAGATAAATCTGGGCTTATATTCACTCCAGACAAGGCAAGACCGTATTACAACTCTGTCCTTAAAATCAAATGGACTCGAATATTCGTCCCTCTTATTTCGACTCTGCTCCTTATCCTTTCCCCCATCAGCCAGGCCCACGACAACAGTCTGGACGTTCGGCGGCTGTCAACATGACAAGCTCCCCGTATTTCGCTCGCACGCATTCACATTCTAGTTCCAGTCCTAGTCTTGGCCATTTCTCCCCCTCTATTCGTTTCAATTCATACTACTCTCTCGCACAGCAGTCGCCATTTCCCCAGCCACTCCCAGACTATAGCCCATTCCCGTCGGACAGTTCAGCCGCTTCCGCTGAATCTCCGCTCTCTTCATCCTCGGCCAACGAGAGCCCGCTTCCCGAACCTCCCATCGATTCGATGGAGAACGACACATCGCATGTTGTTGGTGATGATTATTATCCCTACATCATGACCGATGACCTGGTCGCTACTGGATACTTGTTCCCGCACGCTCCACGGGCATTCCTATCGGGGTATGTCGCCGAGAACCCAGAGATGTATAAGCAGCCTGTCGCAGCGCCGCTGCCCATGCCCTTGTCAGTCGCAATGGGGTATTCTTATTCACCTGAAGCGAAGAAATTTCAACCGTTGTGTCCTCCACCGCAGCAGGAAACGGATCCTCAGCAATACAGCAACTCCTTGTATGGTTCTCCTCCTACCCCTGCAGTTCATCTCACCCATCCTGCGGGGAGCGATGCACACTCTTATCCACAGGATTTTGATGCTGCATACCAGCCGCAGGCGGCCACAAGCTCTTATCATGCTTTCCCGGCTTCGGTTCCTCCAGCTTCGCATGCCTGTTACCAGCAGCCTCGTCAGAACATCAAAGTAGAAAGCATTCCCGACCTTGTAGCTTCTTATAGCCCACCAGCTGATATCTCCAACTCGCCCACCAGCTTGACAATCTATGATGGTCTTTTTGAGACAGGTGCGTACTCGTCGAATGTTTGGACCCTTGTACCTGACGTCCTCAGCATCAGGCTCACCCCCAATTGGGCAGCACAACACTGGTATATCGGAACTGGTAATGCGCTATATACCAAGCCAAAGCAATTCGTTGTCATCGATGAGCATGCCTGTACTGCCTGCGCCTGTTCCGCGACAAGCGTATCTTGGATCATCCATTGTCAGCGATTGTGAGCGCACGTGCCAGGAACAGGAACAGCAACGACAGGCTTTGAGAGTTCAGACACAGGGTTTACAGGAGCAGAGAACTGTGCGACCTGCAGAGGTATCACCCGTGATGGGGTTCACGGATCTACCGGAACCTGAGGATGAGGATGCTGAAGGCGAGCCAGACATTGCAGCTTTTAATCACCATGGGTCCAGCTCCAATGGTGGACATAGTTCAGGGAAGCGTCACTTCATGCCACAGGGCTTCATGCAACAGTCTGGTGAGACTTTCCTTGTCGAAAGAGACGATGATTTCAGTTTGGACGACGAAGAAGACGCCGACGGTGTTGATGAGGTTGGCCTTGACAACGACGATGATTACGGCGCGGAAGAAGTACAGGATGACGATGGAGACGGCGACTTCGTACCCCACATGCGAACAACGTCAAAGAACACGCGAAGCTTACGTTCTCGATCTTTTTCCGGCAGGAATTCGGCGCGGTACCATCCCTACGGCTCAGGACTCCCACAGCCTGCACCAAAGCGTGCTGCGAAGTCACCTCTTATTGCTGCCTCCACTTTGACGCCAGGCTCGACATCTCAGGTAGGAAAGTCTCGCAAGAACGCACGGTCCCTCCCTGTTCCCGTTCCAGTCCCTAACCTCACGAAAAAGTCGAGGGGTCGTCGCGTGCCGACTGTGAATAATGCCGGCGGCAGCGGTCGGGCCCGAGGTTATAGTGACCCCCTCGGAAGTCGGATCTATTTGTGTGACATTAGCGGTTGTGGCAAGTGTTTCGCAAGAGGAGAGCACCTGAAACGACACATCAGGAGCATCCACACCAATGAAAAGCGTAAGTCAAATTTTTCTACCGTCTATTCCCTCGTTCTTATCAACAACGGCAGCGCATAGATGTCCATACCCTGGTTGTGGAAAGGAGTTCAGTCGGCACGATAACCTAGGCCAGCACATGAAAGTCCATAAGGATCTTCCCAAGTTGATGGAGAGGATGGGTATGGTGGATGACATTTAATTGCATCCACCGTGATTTCGACAACGGCTTCAGGTTTGTCGTTGGTTCGGAATCCCGGACGCGCAGGACTTACGCGTTCTCCGTATATTCTTCTGCGGTGTAGTCGGCTTTTCGCCAGGTCTAGCCATTGCGTCATTGTTCTTCGACCCACCCTTTCTCTTTCTCTTTCTCGCTCTACGACTCTTTTTCCATCTCTCGATCCCGGCTCATCTCCTGCACCCGAAATTCATTTGACGACCCTCATTTTCTTTTTCCTTCCATGTTTGCATTGACCGGCTCCATGTCACAATGCGTCCTCATTGCCGCACGTCGTCCTGGTTAGCTTATGTCTGTCATTCGCTTCTCTGTCATGTCATCGCCACTTTCAAAGCACCTACATTCTCGTGACTCTCGCCCCGCTCCTTCGCATCATCTCCATGTCGACGGCTAGTATGTCGCCATCGTCGCCACACGCTCTCGCCTCTCAGTTACCCGGAGCTCTTGTTCTATCCGTAGAGCAGTCTTTTTTCGCCACAGAGAACTGCGCCCACTATGCCGCCGATTACATGCAATCCTCGACGAACGTTTTCTTGACATCTGCCACGAAAATTCAATGCCCCATGCCAATCCTATTGTATCTTATCCCTGCATCCCATCGTCACGTTGTATCCTTATCACTCATCGCTTGCACTATCATGGACAGAATTTTTATTTACCTCTCATCATTCTCAGTCGTATCCTAACGCCAGTCTGCGTATGTAGCCATACGTTATGGTTGTAAAGTATTTTACTAGGGTGTTTATTTTGGGGATTTGTTTTACGGGTTTTATTATTTTCGTAGTCTTCTTTGGGGAATTATAGGGCCCTATGATCAAGGCTATGTAGCCACGAGTGGACAATAAATGCATGTGTTTTTATGTGCCATCAATTCAAGCTGCGCCGTCCGGCAGCCTGTTAGCTTCTTCTCCTTGGCGTCTCTCAAGCTTTACGGCTCCCGATCGTGGTTCGCAGTGGGGACCAGGGCCGCGTCACAAGGATTCATAGAGTAGACATAACTCAGCGGCGTATTACATATCAACCGGTAGCTGTAGAATTACACGAGGGATTCTAATGAACATAGCACAGCTGTTTATATTACGAATAAGAGGGCGCCTTTCTTGGTTAGAAAATGACTCACAGGACGAAATTCGTGAATGTTCCAGACAGAGAACGATCGCAATATATTACTAAACAATTGGGAGTTAATAGATAATAACCAGCCAGAGCCGGTATAACAGTATACAACTCGAGAAAATAGGAAGAGATGACAACCATCAGGGAAGAGAGCTATGCATCATCTGTCATGATGGCGAAAAACTCTTGTTCGTTAATCTCTCCATCCTGGTCGAGGTCAAATTCATCTATCATCGCTTGCCTGCGAAATGGAAGAACAAGGGGTGAGCAAATTTGGAACACCACGAACGAAAAAAATCAGTCACTGCCAAACGGCGGTGAAGAAAAAGCGGAAATGCAAAAGAAGGGAGCCGATGCAGTAACGAGCACGAAAAAGGGTTACTGGGACGAAGTGCCTACGTGCCTCTCGCAGACCTTGCACCCCAAAACGAGAATGAATGGAATTTACTCACAATTCATCATCTTCCAATCGGTCACCGATCTCTTTTGCAACACGTCGAAGATTCCGTAGACTAATTTTTCCTGTGTTGTCATCATCGAACAATTGGAAGGCTCGGCGGATTTCATCCATCGGATCTCGCGCCAGGATCCGTTCGCTCACTAGGAAAACAACGTTAGCAAAAAGGGCGCGCAATCACGAGAGAAGGCGCTGTAGGCGTGAGATATCCGATTTTATGGAGATCCAATCATGTAAACACGAGACGCGTGTTGGGGATCTGGCGCGGACTCATCGCTTGAGTAGAATTAATGGAGCTGAACTACTCAACTGATTTTTGCAAAATCCTCAAAGTCAATTAGACCATGACCGCTCTTGTCATGGTCTCGTAGTATCTTCAATACCTCTGCTTTCTTCATGTCAAAGCCGAGGGCGCGCATCGCGACCTTGAGCTCGTGATAATCCAGCGAGCCATCCTTGTCCGTGTCGAACAATTCAAAGGCCTCTTTTATCTCTTGTTTTTGTTCATCGGTAAGCTCGGGACGTGCGTGCGTGCGTCTCTTGGCTTTTTGCGCGGAAGCAGAATACATGGCGAGCGGATTGAGTGTGACGTTCAGCTCAAACAATTTAGTGGTGGCGGAATTGACGTCTGTTTGACGCCGACGCGTCTGGGACCCCTTGCACCACTACTATAAATGTCAGTGCGATTCGTCGCGTCTGAGTCGAGTCAGTCAATCTTTTGTCGTTCTTCGAGAACCATCGGGAGTTATCACGACGACAGAGTCACTATAAGTTCTTGAGGCACTGCTAACACGCCTATAACAACTCAGATTTCCAGTAGAGCTATCCAGAAGATGGCTTACTGTTCTCGCTGTAACCGCTCTTTCAACTCCTGGCCTGCTTACCACCAGCATCTCGCCGACTCCCCCAATCACTGGGAATGCTTTCGTTGTCAACAGGACTTTGAGTCTCGGCTGGGACTTAAAGAACATTACGTTCAGAGCCCCCGCCATCACTACTGCCAGTATTGCAACATCCATTTCGACACCTCATCGGAGCTACAGGATCATTACGAATACGAGCACGCTTACTGTAGCTCTTGTCACAAAGTCTTCAAGAACGAATTAGGCTTGCACGAGCATAACCGGCAGAGTCACGCCGACGTGTATTGTGTTCTGTGCAAAAAACTCTTCCAGACTCCGAGCAACCTTCAGTCTGTAAGTTTTACTCCATTCTTGGACCTGCACAAAACCTGACCTAGACAAACTAGCATTTGAACTCTAGTACACATCGCCCTAAAGACACTATCTGCCCCTTCAACGGATGTGGCTTGGGGTTCATCAACAAGTCTGCACTCATTCTCCATCTTGAATCCGGCTCATGCCGATCAGGCGTCAACCGACGCGTCGTTGACAACTGGGTCCGCGCGAATGATCGCTCCAACGTGATTACCAACCCAGCGCGGCTCATCACTGCTGGCGAACGTGCCAACGTTAAGTTTATCGCCACAGAGCAGTCGTGGAACGGGCAGGCCTATGAATGTGTTCTTTGTCACACGGAGTTCCGGGCGTTGATGGACTTGAACCGTCACTTGGATAGCCCTCGCCACCAGGAGAAGGTCTATCGGTGCCCTCTCGATACCTGCCGGAAGCATTTCGTCTCCCTTAGTGCGTTGTGCCAGCACATTGAGAGTGAGCGTTGCGGTGTGATGAAGTTCAGGGCAGTCCGAGACGTCATGGACAATCTCCTCAGCGGCGTCGCCCGCATCACATTGTAACATGGTAAGTTCTACATGACCATTGAAGGTCTACAGGCTATAACCGGATACTTCGTATCTAGCCCTCGTGTTGTCTGCGTTCCTTCACATGCCATATCCACATGGTTTCGTCACAGATAATCACTTTCTATTCTTCTACTATACATTTTTCATTTTTCAACCGGCATTACCGCCTTACCTATTGCAAATCACTATCTGCGTACCTTAACATCCTTTTTGATAAACCAATTATGATAGTTTTTGCCTGGTCTGGCCAAAGCAGGTTTCTTGGTCTCCCTCAGTTGTACATGGTAGTCATACCTTACATACGTCCTTATTTTCCGCGTTTCAATTGCGCCGTATTGTGAATCAAATCGAAGTTGATAAGTGGTCTCGTAATCCCGTCTCTGACTCCATCCTCACTGTGCAAGCGGAGGCAAATACTTTAAATGGGACCGCAATCATCCAACCAGCGTGAATTGTAAATGTTTGCTCTCATGCTTCACCCCTTCATAACCCTGCCCCTTATTCTGTTCATTTGCGAGGAAGTCATTGCAAACACGGAAATTATCAACTTCCTTGCCGCTGAGGAAAGCAATGTCGACTTCTCGTCTACCACGGTTGACAGTTGGTAAGTTCGAACACGATGCTTGGAGCAGCTCCTGGTGTCTTGACGCAGTCCTGCGTGCAGGCCAGTTTTGAATTACAAAAATAATCAGGGGTATTGGAACGTAGATCCCCCTCTACTCGACACGCCTTTGCAGCAGGTATGCGAGTCAGAGAAAGGCATTGATCCGGCGAACCCCTTCTCATGCCATCATGAGCTCTGGGTAGCGCTAGATCTCGATGATGAAAACTGGATGTCCTATTCAAAGTTTACGCTACGTCTATCCTGGCCTGCTTCCGTACGTCGCACGCTTTTTCATTCCAATCCCAAATCCCCAATTCACAGTGCGTCGCTATTACAGTCCCCCGCGGATTTTTTGCTTGAAATCCACAGTCCTCAGGCGATCTTGACCCGTTTGTCTAGACTACCGCACCAGTCAGCGATAGACGATGCTTCCATCACTACGCCGCATTTATCGCGCACGGGTTTATCCACTACTCGCCTCAAGTACGCCAGGATACGAGTCGTTGATACTGGCATACGCACACCCACACGCACACCTGATCTCCCTGTTTCGGCTGCTCGACCGATATCATTCATTCTCGTTCTCGAACAACTCTATCTTGGCGTTATACCGGCTTCTCTCGTTCCTGCTGCGTGTTTCCTTATCCCCGTTCTGGCCTGTGCGGCTCTAGCCACACCGTGGATACTTGGTTATCTCGATCATTTCATAAAGGAGGCTAGACAGGAATTGCGCGATTTTAGCACAGTTGAAGAAAAGAAGGAACACTGAGATGTGTTAGTCGTGCGGTATACATGCATTTTTCTCGATGCTGTGGCGTTTCATCTTAACCGTGGGCGATCCAGCACTCGTGATACAAACACTGTCATTTTACGCGCGTCAAAGAGAATCCATTTCATATACTAATAGATCGAGTTAACATCTCGGTAGACTACGGCGTGTGCCTGACCAAGAAATACACCGTCTCTCCATCAAAACCAAGACTCCGCCACAGGTGTGATATCAAGCAACGCTCTCCAATTCAACAAGATGAACGGCTGCAAACCACGCAAGGATGATTTCCACTCGTGGGCCGTGCAGCGGTATGTTGAAATTTAACGGCTTCTTTTTGTTCCCAGCTTTGACTTTCTCCGCTGCTGCCTTCTCAGCACGTTCCTTTTGCCTTGCAGCTACAGGAACAAGCAAAATTCTGGCACAATCCAATGCCTCTAGAAGATCCTCACGACTCCCACTGAATGTACTAGAAGGGGTATTCCGTCCGTTGGTGGGCAATGAGGAACCCGACGGGATTTGGCTTGTATTTGAAAAAGATGTGAAAGCAGAATAGAATTCTGCGTCTGCAGAAGACGTGGACATAGTATCGGTCGAAGACATCGGCGGTGAAGGGGGCGGTGGAGGCTCAATTACAAGCCGGTTTGTCGCCTTCTTACCCTGTATGTATGAATGAGGTTGTACACCGGGCATCCACCCACTAGCAAGGCGTTCGAGGACCTCGATAAACTCGGCTTGAGCCATCGAACGTGGAGGTAGAAACACAGGGTATCCCTCCAGCCCGTCTACAACAACTGCAGTCCGCGAGAAAGTGGCAAGGAGAGTGGGTAACTCGGCGAGCATAAGTTGGCAAATAAGGATACTGAAGTGGGACTCTACGAGTAAGGGATGATAGGTGGTGAACATTGGCGGGAGGATGGAGTCGACGTGTGCGAGGCCATTGGCGGTTGAAGTATGAATATTTGGGCGCACCAGCTCGGTTAAAAGGAAGGCAACCTCCACCCTTTTAGCCAGATCTGCTTGCATTGGCGCAGGACCTTCTAGAGTGTCAAAATGAGAGAGGAAGCGTTCATGATCACGCAAGCTCTTCTTCAGGAGGGAGTGAATATTTTCACGAAACCCGTCGTCTGCCAGAACTTGCCGGTACGCCTGGGCTTTTGGGCCATCACTGCGTCCCAGCGGTCCGTCAGGATTCCCCATCTCGACTCCCCCGTAGCGGCCATTAGAGAGGTAGCAAAGGCGCATCTCAGCTCCATCAAGGGATGAATTGACCTTGCTGACCCCTTCGAGCCGCAATACTGCAGATTCAATGAGGTACACGGCATGCTGCAAATACGCTGCCCCCCTCAAAAATAATAACTGTGGTTCGATAGGGTCTGGCGCGTCTGGCAAAACCGAAGGATGTAAGAGTAATGGCTCCCCATTAATTCCTTCGATATTAGTCCCATTCGCAGCGGCACTAGTACCACTAGGGGGAGCCTGTCCGTGAAGTTTATTGGAGCTCTTTTTCTTTTTAGTAGCTTTCCCTCGAAGCTCGCGGGAAGAAATTAAATCTTGGTGTGCGGTACGCGCTTTTCTCGCCGCACGGGACTCTCGTAGGGCATGAGTAAAGTCTTTCGTCGCCAAAGAATACTCGTCGCGGAAACAGTGAACTATTCCACGCGTCCGATGATATTCCAGGCGCTGAGGATAAGCTGCAATCAATTCATCAAGCACTTGCGTTGATGTGGAGTCCGCAAGTTGCCTGTTAGAACTGAATTTAAAAAGTCAGGCAAAGAATTATATACGCGTTGCACGAACCGGGAGGGGATTTTTTCATGGAAGAAATGAACATATCGTGCATCAGCGTCGTTAGGATCTGCGTGTGAGTCGCATCATTAGCGCTGCGCCCCAATGAAAAAATTGATGGGGCCTCCTGAACATACCATACTTGAGAACTTTCTCAGCGATATCATCAAATACACTTCCTCCTTGCATCACCATGACGCTACTGGCAATTTCATCCGCCTTATAAGCGGCCGCAAGCTTCTGAACAGCAAGGGCTCTAAGCCTATGTATGCGCATTGCGCTCATAGCGACATTCCTGCCACCGCCGATGTTATTGGAGCCGTCAAAGCCCAGCCCTTGAGCCCCAGCCCAGGGATTATTAAGTGGTGTACGTATAGAGCCAGAAGCAACAGCCGAGAGACCAGAGGATGCGCGTACGGAAAGTTCAGAAGCCTCATCGATGAGCCTCCGAATCGCTGCAACGTTCCGAAAAACGCCAGGGTCAATGGGTGGCGGAGTAGCTTTACCCGGGGGAGGCAGGGGAAACGCAACTGACTGTGAGGTCGGAATATACGGCGTTGGTAGTGTGGTCAAAGTGTTGCCTGGTGATTCCGGAGGAGTATTATCCTTGAGTGAATACAATATGCGGTCGCGGTCGCGAGGACGTGGCGCCGGTCGTGACTGGATGTTTCCGAGTGAAGTCTGGGACGAATAAGTAAGAGCAGGTAGCTGCGTTTCCGACGAAGACAGGGTGGCAGGGTCAAGATTGAGGACAAGCAACGATTCCAGCAATTCCAATGGAAGTTGCAGCCACGGGCCCTGGTATAGTACGCGAAGGATCAGTTCCGCAGCCTCAAAGAGATAGACAGCACAGTTACGTGGTAAGAGCTGATATATTTCCAATGCTTGTTTCTACTAATGCAAAGCACGGAAGCACGCTCGAAGTCAGGTGAAGGGGATGCCCGTGATTTTGCCGGAGGATCAATAGCTTCACGAGTCTTTGGCTTCTTTGATTTTTTCTTCTTCTTTTTCTTTTGGCTCGCCTCCGAAGGTAAAAGGTCGCATGTGGATGAAAGTCCAGTCGAGGAATTAGTAGTAGCCGAGGACGTTATGACCTGGGTAATGAACTCTATGGACTCGACTTGCACGCCATGTAGCAATGTGGTATCGTCCTGGGAAATAAAATCCATTTCCGACGACAAAGGGCCCTGCTTCGACATCGTCTGCGACGGTCAGGATGAACTTGGAAACTAGATGGAACAAGTAGCCTGTCGCTAGTCAGCTCTCTTTTCACCAACTTGATCAAGAATTAGGAATTCTTTCTTTGGATAATATTTCTCACGGTCTTGATCAACTACGTTCACTTGGTACTTGCGATTTGCTCATTGAATACAAGCTTAAACGCTTGCGCTTATTCCCTGCATCATGCACTCAACAGTGGGCCAAGATAGATACACAGAAACGTCTCCGACTTCAAGCTTCAGCTTCAAAATTACATCATCTCAGACAAATCTCACATGCAGTTCGCGTATTCGACATGTAAACAATCCTTCGAAAGGTTAAGTTGGCGTGTAGGAATGATTGTCGACTTTGTTCGACTTCTAGAAACAAACGATCCCACTTCCTTCTGTCCCGATCCCACAGAATCTCGCGAATCTCACCAATAGATTCATGGCGGTGTGAAGGCACGAATCAACTGGTTGACCCTCGATCAGGCATTTTTTCCACCTGTAACTATCGGGCGTCCTTCTTCATGCTTGGTCTTGAATAAGACTGCGAGAGTTTGACAGGGAATGGAATGATAAGGGTCAGGACGAGACATGGAGAAACTTCAGTGGACTTTGGTAGCTAGATGAAGTATGCGAGAAGTGTTAAATACTGAGGGGAATCAATTGACTGGCTCCAGGCTCTACGAAAGTTACATGGAATTCTTATAAACAGGGACAGGTATCAAAGCGTGGGGCGACGTGAAGGATGGGCAAAACAGAAAGGAGGATCGAGCTAGATATAAGAGAGGAAGGGTGAATTTGTGAAAGGACACCGAAACGAGAAGCGGTGCATACGATCATTCAAGTGATGAGTTCGTCCAACGGTCACGGTGAATGCGAAGCGTTCCTTACATTCTTGCATCCCAACAGAGACGTCGCCAGCCGCGGCTCGCGTCTGCTGGCAGTGCTCTCGTAGGGGACTACGTACGTATATAGAGCCCCACGTGTAGTTGTGTATCTCCCTCTTGAAGTTAAGTCTCTTTTTGAAACGTACTAGGCTCAGGGAGTCGTCGGGTAGGATAGGCGTCGCCAGTGAAGTAATGACATAATAAACCAGGATCGCTAAACTGATGAGCGCCAAAAGATTGTGAATGGTCTGTTAAGCCCTCGTGGACATGCAACAGTCCTAAGGCCTAAACAATAAACCTCAGCAGCCTTTTGTTTAAAACTCTTCCAGAGAGCACCTAGATCAAGAGTAGCTTCGCATAAATGGGATCCTAATTTGGTATATTACGTGATGGTCGAAGTACGTTGAACAATTGAATTGAGCACGCCTGTCGCGTAAACATTCTGGCTTTATTTTGTGTGCCGAGTACGCGGCTCCAACTCACCGGAAGCTCTGAAGGTCACCGCTTGTTATCGAAGAGATAGAAGGCATTATCCCCTTCCGCTATACACGGAAAATTGTTGCTCATAACAGGTTTCAAGATAACAAAAAGTCACGTTCTCGAGCGCGGGTTCAGCTTGTGATTTCTGGCTGCGACTCTTACTGGATTCGCCCCTGCCAGTGAGCTTCGGATTCGCCCTGCTGTCGGTTTTTTCTTGATAGTCGTCGTCGTAATCGGAGTCCCGGCTACACATCTGCCCAGCTGATTATGACACGGAGCGCCCTTCCTCGGCGAGAGGGCCTTGATCAACCGGGTCCTGTAAAAATGTCGAACGTAAAGATGGGGAATTGAGCGGCTTCCGCAAGCTACGGCACTCGCATGACATCAGTTTTGAGGCTTTGACAGGTCCATGCATTATGCCCCTGAGGGCTTGAGGCATGTTAGAACAAAGCCTTACCTTATGGTCCTCTGCGTTGGCGAGCTTTTCCTTGGTTTTGGTTTTGACATGACCATCTTGCGCCAGATACTTGGCTATGATTATAACCGTGTAGGCATCAATTCCGTGGCGTCTCACGCCCGAACCTCGTCTCGCATGTGATTCGGTCAAGCTCACGGATTGGGAAACCGGGATACCAACATACCTCTTCCTATACTTCTCTGGGTCCATGTCCGAGTTCTTCTTCAGGTTATCCACTATCTTAGCACCGCTCACGAGACCTACATTTGTTCCTGCTTGATAGCTCTTATCCGAGTCAACCAGTTCCTCAACACTCTTATTCTTTGAACCTGGTAATCATGTTTGCTTTGTAAATGTTCATGAATGAAGCAGCAACCCTTGGGTGGTAGGATGAGTCCAATGAGTTTCACGGTAACCGGTTTCAATCCGGTTTAGTGTGGTGCAACCTTCTCTGTGCCCACGCTCTCGCCACTACTTCGCTTTATCTCAGTCATATCTTATCTAAGACACGCAGGTTGCATCGTGCCCATTTACTCTCGTATTTATGATAAGCACTTATAACCTAATAATTACAGTTTTTTTTATTCCTGACCTATAAGAAGGCCACAGTTCCACTCCCAGTAGCCTATCAGCCTCAATACTTCCGTGTTCTCTCCTCAATATGGCTCCTTCAGCCTCTCCTGCAACCGCTACGACGGTATACACTCCCGTGACAACAAAGTCTACCAAGTTTAAACACCCCCTAGACCCCTTGACCCCAGATGAGGTACTCATTGATTGGCTTTCTACCTCAACGTGTCCTCATTCCCTCTTCTAGATCAATGCAGTGTCTTTGGCGATCCGGCTTTACACTACCGCAAATACACCAATCAAGGCCGTCCGCTTCATCACTTGCACTCTTGTCCCACCTCCGAAGAGGGCCGTCCTTGCGGCACTAGGAATCCCTTTGACCCCAGGCGCCCAGCCCGAACCGCCCACTCCGATCGTCAGGAAAGCCGAAAGTGATGTACGTAATAAAAATGCATTTCACGTTCTGCTCCTTTTTTTTCTAACCGGCAACGGGCCTACCACCTAGTTCTTGGACGTCGTCAACGGGTTCGTGATTTTGTACAATAATTGCGATCACACGACAACTCATCGTAATATAGGGGTACTTTTAACGCTATCCTGTCTCTTGAAGATGGCACGTGGAACGTCGATACCTGCGAGTTAGTCGCAGACGGTGCAGAACCTCAAATTTCTCCCGAGGAGCTTGCTTTCTGCGAGCATGTTGTGCGCAGAGATGCCACAGTTCAAGCCCTTGCGAGAGAAGTCGGTAAGTGCTGACTGGGTGTGACATGGGAATTCTGCTCACTGTCTCGTAGGAGTGGAACCCGACCAAATTTATGCTGACGGCTGGGCCATCGGCTATGATGACCGCTTCCCGAAACATACTCGCTTGCAACAAGCTTTCGTCTTCGCTCGTTATTCTGAGCACTGAGAACCTTTATGCCCACCCCTTGGTTGGTTTTTTTATTCACTTCGCTGAATTTGTCGACTGAATACATGTGATTACAGGATTTCGTTGTGGTCATCGACTCCCTCGCAGAGAAGGTTATCCAGATTGACTTCCCGCCGACCTACAAAAGGACCGAGGATGGTTCTGTAGAGTTGGGTGTCTCGAGTACAGAGCCAGTGCCCATTGTCCGAAGACTTCTTTCACCGAGTCGAAACGAGAGCGCCTTCCACCCCCTCTCCGGTCTTTCGATTTCCTCCCGGATCTCCTCCAGGCGGACCCGACTCACAAGCCTCGTGATGATATCAAGCCTCTTCACGTTCTTCAGCCCGAGGGCGTGTCATTCAAGATGGACGGCAATGTGCTCGAGTGGCAAAAGTGGAAGATGCACATTGGTTCGTCATTTGTCATACTCAGCCTTGTTATTCATCTAAGATGTCATTCATGCAGGATTCAGCCATCGTGAGGGTATCGCGCTTTCGACCATTACCTACAACGATGACGGCGAAATCCGTCCTGTCATGTATCGTCTGTCGCTTGCAGAGATGGTTGTTCCATATGGCGCACCAGAATTCCCTCATCCTCGCAAATTCGCCTTCGACAGGTGAGTAGTATCCCGAACAATTGTTGATGGGTGTGTCTCAAGTTATTCTAGTGGTGAATATGGCATGGGGACGATGGCAAACGAGCTTTCCTTGGGCTGCGATTGCCTTGGACAGATTCACTACCTCGTACGTATCCATAAGTGTCACTTCATGCGATGATGTCTTACCGATCCTTCTCCAGCCTGGCGCGTATGTCACGCATTCTGGGACTCCGTTTATAATCAAGAATGCGATCTGTATCCACGAAGAAGATGCCGGTGTTCTTTGGAAGCACACTGACTATCGTCCCGGTGGCCGCCATCAGACAGTTCGCAGCAGGCGTCTTGTCGTCAGCATGGTCTGCACCCTTGCAAATTACGGTATGTTGACTGGGACACAAATCTGGCTTGTGGTGGCTGAGGTTTCCATTGCCATCAGAGTACATCTGGAACTATCATTTCTATCAAGACGGTAACATTGAAATTGAGATCCGTCTTACCGGAATTCTGCAGGTGTATGTCGCTGCTCAAGACGAACCCAACCCTTACGGTACGACTATCGCTCCGAACATCAACGCACACAACCACCAGCACCTGTTCTCCGTTCGAGTCGACCCGATGGTCGATGGCCTCTACAACTCGGTCGTCGAGTCCGACATCGTCCCTCTCAGTGCCCCCACTGGCTCGAAGGAGAACTTCGCAGGCAACGGTTTCGTTGTGAAGGACAAGGTGCTCAAGTCTCAAGTGCAAGACGGCGCGCGCGACTTCGACTGGGCCCGTGAACGTCGCTGGCGCATCACCAACCAGGCAAGGACGCATGAGTCATCAGGGAAGGACGCAAGTTATGCTATCATGATGAAGGGAGGTGTGCTTCCACTTATGGCGCATACTGACTCCTGGGTTGCTCGTCGTGCTTCATTTGCTCACAAGACGTTATGGGTTGTAAGAGATAAGGAGGGTGCAGATGGTAGCAGGATGTGGCCAAGTGGAAAGTACGTCCCTCAGACGCGTGAGGAGCCTGAGGACTCTGTTGGCAGATGGGTCAAAGATGGAAACGGAAGCATCGAGAACGAGGACATCGTGCTCTACCTGACTGTTGGTGCGTTGTACCTTTCTCATATTCTTTGGTCATTGGATGAACGATATCTCCCCACCTCTTTCGTAGGCACGACTCACATTCCTCGCCCTGAGGATTGGCCTGTGTGAGTACTACTCACTGCATATAAGAGTCCGGCCACCTAACCCTCCCTCAGCATGCCAGTTGAGCACGTTAATTTGATGTTCAAACCTAACAATTTCTTCACGAAGAATCCGAGCATGGATGTCCCAGGAACAAACGACCCGATGAGCAAGCCAGCCTTCAATGGAGCGAATGGCGCCAACGGCTCGAACGGCGCTTGCTGCTCCCATTAATGTGATACCACTCACCCGACGTTTTCTTGGTTCTGCGTACTCGAAGGACACCAGTGTATAACATTTTTTTCACCGCTATCGACTGCCCATGCGTGTATCAGATATCTCGAGTACCTAGTATGATTACTCGGACAAAGATCCGAGCGTTTAATTTGTCTCCACTGTATTACCTATGCTTACTTGGATAAATTTCCAAGCTACTTAATACGATTTACTGCTGTTGTCTGTGATCTGGCGAGAATGAGGGAAATTTAAGATTCAACGAAAAGGTGAACTTGCCTTGGGATGGATATCCACATGTAAATGTTTTCGCGCGCGAAAGCGTGATCCTGGGTACATCCTGAAGTCCCCTCTTCAAAAACTGAGTCCCTGCATCGTCGGTCTTCTCGCATCTTCTTCCAATTTCCACACCTGTTTCTGCCGATCCACATTTTGAACACCACCGTCCTCAGTAGAATCAGCATCGACCGCTCTCAACGTAGGCTTCACACCAAGCGAAGCGCACAACGCCTTATACCGCGATCGAATCTGGCGCTGCAGCTTCGAAATATCAATCTCTTCCATCGCACCAGAAGCCACCGCATCAGGAGAAGGATTTATCCGTGGGAACTGCGATACAAGATCAAGTAAATGCCTGATATGATGCACCGCGCGTCTGCAAAAGAAAAAGAAAAAGTCCTCGCGATGAATAAATCATCATGGAGAAGAAACGAGTGAACGCACTGGTCGTCCCGTCCATGCTTTGCATATATCGCTTGCCAGGTTGTAGCGAACCCCTCGTAGAACCCGATCTCTTCCCATATCTCGAACCCTTTTTCGCGTCCGAGGGCTCGACCTTCGATTAGGCCGTGGATGCGCCCGTGCGCAAAGCCGTCGGTGTACCCGGCGTCGTAGAACCTGAGACTTGCTCTTCAGAGGGATCTGGCAATTATAAAAATAATGAAGCCAACGTCTGTTCCAGGTGCACGAGTGCTTCGAGATCAAATTCATCAGCCATAGCTAGAAGGGTCGATGGTGAAAAGGCTGCTTGATGAGTTGCATATGAGTTGTTTGGTAAAGGCTTTAAAACCTAACTGATACAAACAAACTGAAGTCCTAGGCACGGTGACACTGTGCACTGAGCTTGCTACAACTGAACATCGCGCGATGATATAAGGATAAAAAGTTATCAGTCCATATGCTCATATTGATTGTCCATATACATGACGTTTACTACCTTATCCCCTCCTCGTAATACATAGGGTATACAACCTGATATTAGTAGAGTAACATAAAAAATGAAGTAAGGTATTAATATCCCTCAAAGCGCATTTGCACGATCCAATAGGCCTCTGACGCGCCTGCTAAGTCTCTCGGCCTCTAATTTCCGATCAAGGACTTGCTGAGCAGGACTATCCTTCCTCCGCATCCACATCTTCCCACCTTTACAATCACTTTCTGCTCTCTTTGCATGAAGAGCGGATAGATCAACAACACGAGGCGATGAGGAGAATTTGATGACGTCCCGGTAGAGAACCTTGGTTTCTGTGGCGAGCGAGCGAATGGTAGGAGGAGCGGATGGTAGTTCCGTATCGGATTCGTCTGTGTCGGATTGTCCTGAGGGGTCCAGTGGAGGTGTACGCACACGACTGATAGGTTCTGGGAGATGTGGTAGCGCTTGTATTTCCTTGAGCAGGTCCTGTCCCTTGAGATACGAGTTTTCTGTGCGCAAGAAGCGGACGGTGCCACGAAGAGCCTCGATCTATGTGACAGTCAGAACAACAATGATAAGATGGCTCTAGACCTGCACGGACCTGCTCCAGAAGGTGTGATGTCTCCACATTACCATCCATGGGGACATTCTCTGAATCGACAGGTTGTGTGCCAGCAGCTGGACACGGCAAGTTATCGGACCGTGCAATTGACCCCAATACAAATAAACATACCTTGTCGCTCCGAACCCGCAACCAACGCCTTCAGTTTCGCATTGTCTTGCTCGAACGTATCCAGGTCGGCTTGCAGTTGCTCCATTGCCTCTTCGTATGCACGTTCCTGCTTGCGCGCTTTCGAGAGCTCAATCTCAAGATCTCCAATGGTATCCGCTTGCTTCTTGACCGCTTCCATGCGCCGTTCCATGTGCTCGATCTTCACCCCTGACTCCTGTATCACTTGGTCTTTTGTCTTGAGACTCCGTACAAGTCCTTGTATTTCTTCCTGCAGCTGTGCGGCTTTCTGCTCGGCTTCGGCATTGATAGCCATGCTGGCTCTGATCTCCTCAATTCGTAGGACCCATGGTGGTGCGCCGGAGACTTGGTCATCGTTAGCATGATATTTGATGAATATCAGAGTCAAAAGAAGCCTACTCTTGAACACGTTCTCAGGTTCCATTGCCAAAGGGAGCAACTTGTTGCACTCCGCTGATAACTGGGCAATAGCTTCACCAACCGCCTCGAAGCACGAGGTCCCAGGTTTCATGTCCTTGGCGACAGTGGACATTGCAGTCTGCCTGGCGTACGACAACACTGTTGCAAGCTGAAACGGAGCCTTGGCACTACGGGCGTCGCTAAGGTGTGGAATTACTTGTTGGGCGAGCTACAGTTGTACAAATGAGCAGTCTTCCTGACAAAGGAGAGCGAAAACACTAACGGAGATACCGAAGTTGACTAGCTCGGGAACTGCATTGCTGAGAGTCTTGAGTTGCTGAACGAGATGTGATTTGAGTGCCGAAGACTCCTGGATAACGTCATCGAGGCGCTTTGTAAGTTTCCTGCCAACCGCTCAGCACATATCCGCAACGCAACAATCGACCTCACCTAGACAGCACCTTGGCACTCTTGCACTTTTCCAAGAGTTTCTGCAAGGGCTCGATGAGCTCTTCCTCGGGATCATAGCCACCCATGTCGAGGACGACATCTGTGGAGTAGTTTGTGTAAGCGATATCGTGGCCGAGGCAGTGTCACGTACCCTCGTCATTGAGAATGACAGCAACGGACGTCTTCGTGAGCCCGATCGAGGCGGCAAATACATCGAGATCATGGTCAAACGAAAGTGCATACCCGAGTTCGCGCTCGCCCAGATCCTGTTCAAACCCATCGAAATAAGTCTCTGCCAGATGATCGAATTGTGCTAGCATCCTATGTCAGAAGTAAGCGTTGTCTCATTCGTCGACATGAAAAGGCAGGGAAACGAAAGTCGCGAGGTATCGAAATGAAGACTAGACGCACTTCAGCACGTCACTGACGAATTCCATCTCCCTAAACTCATCCCGTCGGAGAAGATCAATGTGCAGATCGATACGTTTCTCCATGGGGGCAATCTCAGGGTATATTCGCCCGATATTGAGGAACGATGTAGGGTCACACCGCCTGAGGATAGTAGCGAAACGTTTGCAGAGCGTGGAAAAGGACGCGGCACGGCCGCGCATCTGTTATTGGTAAATAAATGTTACGAGTGCCGCTGTTGAAAGTCAGAAAACACAACGCACTTCACATATTCCAACAAGCGTTTCCGAGACGACACCATTGAGTGAGTCTGGTAGACCATGAGCCAGTCCCACAATAGTGTTGATGAGGTCGGTTTTGTACCCCAGGCGTGCGAAGAAGAGATAACAACTTGTAGCGTCGCTGTCGGACTCGACGTATTGTTGAGGTAGGTAAGGCTAGAAAGGAAGAAGATAAGGTGCAAGTCGAGGAGGGATTAGAGCAAGTGAAGAAACACAAGAAAACTAAGGGAGTAATGGGAAAATAACGGAAGAATGAAGCAAATATGGGGGTCGAAAGGAGACAGACGAATGAGGTCATAAAACGGAAGCGCGGTAAGGCGGGAATGCTTCATAATCATGACTTCATACTTGCATTGCCCTGCACACAGCTTCTGTGTCTTGACGAGAAATAAACGCAACTAATGAAAGAAACGGGGGAGGGGGTGAAAATGAACAGGAAAGTCGGAAAGCAAAGATAATGAACAGAGGAGGGTAATGTTCCCAAACAATAAAAAATGAAGCCCACCTGCACAATTCCCAACAATTCCCCCCTCTCCCTCGCCTCGAGCTTCTTGATCTCCAGTTCTACTGCCCTTGCCTGGTTTTTAGCAGCCGAGGATTGGAGTTTCAAATTCAGCGACATCATCGTTGCCGTCTGGTGCGCAGCCGTAGCAGACTCGTGCTGCGCTGTTTGTGTCGCTGAACGCATGGAGTCGAGTTCGCTGGTAAGTGGATTAGCATGACTCTCGCGAAGACAAACAACTGAAGAAGCAGGCGAAAATAATAGGAAACCCACCCTTGCATATCTGCAACGACTTCCCTAAACCTCGCGATCGTCACATCTGCGTCTGACGCTATATCTTCAAGTAACCCAACTCTGACCTTCTCTTCTCTCAGGTCCTTCTCGCGATCTAAAATTTCGTCTCGAAGTTCACGCTCAACTTGAACGTGGTTCTCTTCGAGTTCGTCTGTGAGTTCCTTGAGAGCCTCGAGGTCTTCTATTGTGACGCGCTGTTCTTCGATTTTCTGGGGAGGAGGATGAGCAGGTGTAACCGAGGCAGAGAATGTGTGACATTGTGTGATGGAGTGTAGATAAAAACAATGCTCCTGGAGGGAAAGGCAGAGACCATACATACCTCCGAAAGTGATAAATTTCGTTCTGTAAGCTGCACGAGCAGATCTTCTGCTCCTAGTGCATCATCAAGTTGTTGTTGTAGTGATGATATCTGCGTTTCCGCATTGGAAAGCTTAATTAGTGTTTGTTCGTATTGGCCTATTGAAGACGTCAGTTTAAATGAAGTTCTAGGGAAGAGAAAAGAAAAGGGAGGCAGAGAATGGTGACGATCAAGATGACAGGTACTAAAGGGACATGCCTTGTAGGTCATCAATACTCGTGATGTCTTTCTCCATCTCTGCTATGCGGCGGCGCTGTTCTTGTTCTGTCTCTTGCGACATGTCGCGAAGGCTATTTCAGCGCACAAATCATGAAGAATTCGATGTAAAAACATAACAAATATAACACACCGTATAAGCGCCTCCTTCAATCGCTCGTTCTGTTTCTCAAGCTGGATATATGCGAGTGATGTCTTAGCGTTTGAATCACCATCTCTGCCCGAGGCTGCAAGAAATAATCCATCAGCCAACTCCCAAACCCAACGCATTATACTAACCACCATCCTCCTTCATGACATCCAGCTCCACTTCAACACGAGCAAGCCTTTCCTTCACCTCCTCCAACTCCTGTTCTGCTAATTCTGCCTTCTCCTCCGCAACCTCCTTATCCAACATCGCCATTTCCAGCTGCTCTTGTGAATCCGCACCCCTTGTCTCACCCAAACTCGCAAGTTGCTCTGCATCTGCTAATGCACGCTTCGTTGCAATCAGTTCAGACTGGAGGGATTGTAGTTTAGCTTGAAGTTTGGGGCGCAGGGCAACGAAAGACTCGGCGTCTGCGAGGCGGGTTTCCAGCTCACGAATGTGTCGAGCATCATCAGCGCGTTTAGCTTCGAGTACGCGTATCTTCGCATGCACGGCGGAATCTTCGGTACGCTATAATTTTGATTGAACTGAGTGAATATAGAGTATATGCACGTGGACTTACGGTTGTGGGTGATGCGGGCTCATGCGAGGGGACACGAGAGATGGAAGGTGACGGTATCAGTTTTGTACCGTTTAGAGATGGGGAGTCAATTGGTGCGGGGGGTTGCAGAAACGTGCGCGCGATAGGCGAAGGTGGTGGTGGAGGCTCCACGGCCGCATTCTTTGGTGGCAGTGATAATGGGGAGGACGTCCTCTGCACCTGGACGAGAGCCTCCTGTGAAGAGGACGACCCGATCTTAGGGGTCTGAAAGGCGGGACTCTGAGGAGTGGAGGATTCTGCGGATGGTTGACGGGGAAATGATTTGCGATGTTGAAGAGTTAAAGATGGAATGCGCTTCGCGGGCGACGAGGTAGCCGTGAGACGGGAATTGCGTGGGGTAGCCACGGCAGAGGCTGAAGGCGTGGCCTTCACGGGACTGGACGACCGGGAAGAAGACCCTGATGCGCCATTTGAACGCAGTGATGCTGCACGCGAAACGCCAGTGCTAGGGGTACGTTGATGACCCATGACTGTCCGAGCGGCCTGTGTTTTCTATGAATACAGGCCAGGTCAGGGTGGCTCTGGTAAAACAATTATACGGACTCACAGGAGGCTGTGGTTCAGGCTCGGCATTAATTACCTTGACCTGGCTTGGACGAACGAATACGCCATGGTTTGGCTTGCAAGAAAAGTAGGTGAGGCCTTGAAGGCTCCCATCGTTCTTGCCCTTGGGCTCATTAAGCTCAATACCAATCCATTTGCCCGACGAGAAAGACGTGGCGCCAGAAAACCGCACTATTCCACGCCCCGCCGAAACTTCGACGAGCGCACCCACTGGGGGGTCCATCTAAAATATGAAAAACAAAGCGAATGAAAGTGACGGTAAAGATTATTGTGCCAGTCTACTAAAACGCGTCTTGCCAAAGTAACCGAAATGGTCCATGTCACGTGGCAAGTAGTTTACGAATTCAAAAGTCCATGGACCAAGTCCACGAACCTACCGAAGGTGATCAAGATCAATCACTGTACTATTACCACACTACCGACTTCTACTGTCATGCAAAACGGTCGGAATGTTCAAGGTTTGTTTTAATTATCATTCTTATTTACATTACATGATGCAATTATAGACCTCCTGGGGTTCAGAGAGCGACAGAATTCAGACATGGGCTCGGATGTCCTCACGGAGCGCGCTTGGGGTTCTGCCTCGACTTCCGATCCATCGTCGACGCGCACTACAAATGGTGCTCATGGACTGCGAACAGCATCAGATGCAACATTGCCAGACCCAACTCCGATTATTCCATATTGGTCTGCAAAACGTCATCTCACATGTGGTAATCCTGCTCCTCGTTCATCTTCAGCACGTCTCTTTCCATGGCGGGGAAGTGCACCCGGAAAGCTCAAGACCGCAAATGCGGCTCTCGTCCTCTGTCTGAACATTGACGTAGACCCCCCAGATATAATCAAGACTAATCCCTGTGCAGCGCTCGAATGCTGGGTCAATCCTCACTCCCTCCCCTCTCATAAGGCTCTCGAAGCCATCGGCTCTAACCTTCAGCATCAGTTTGAGGGTTTGAGTCTCAAGATCCCTTACAAACCCATCCTTGATCCCTCCTATGAGGACCTTCGCCGTTTCTGCCTGACTCTTCGTAAACAGGCCAAAGACGAAACAGTTTGTTTTTATTACAATGGTCACGGCGTTCCGAAGCCCACCCCCAGCGGGGAGCTTTGGTGTTTTAACAGGAACTACACACAATATATTCCCGTCTCGCTTATGGAGGTCCAGACTTGGCTCGGTAGCCCAGGCGTATATATTTGGGATTGCAGTGCTGCCGGGCACTTGCTCTCCAACTTCATCACCTTCGCTGAACGTCGGGATCAGGATGCGTTCACCACACGTGGGGGCTACGCAGACGGCATGCAGCCGTACATGAACTCCCTTCAACTAGCCGCGTGTGCTACCCATGAGCAACTTCCGACATGTCCGGAGCTGCCAGCAGACGTTTTCACGTCATGTCTAACCTCCCCCATTGACATCGCGCTGCGATACTTCATCATGACCCATCATCTACCAAATAACATCACCCCCGACATGGTCATGCAGCTACCAGGAGATCTCAAGGACCGTCGGACACCTCTTGGCGAGCTCAACTGGATCTTCACCGCTATAACAGACACCATTGCGTGGACCACGTTCCCTCGGGACGTGTTCACGCGGCTGTACCGCTCCGACCTCCTCATTGCAAGTCTCTTCCGAAATTTCTTACTCGCAGAGCGCATCATGAAGAACTACCACTGCACCCCACACACACACCCTCCACTTCCAGCCACAAACACTCACCAACTCTGGGCCGCATGGGATTTAGCTCTGGACACATGCCTACGCCAACTACCTGAACTTCTCGCGAAGAGTCCAGGCGCACCCAATAGTCCCCCAAGTCCCATTATCGGCACAGGCGCGCGCTCTGGACACAGTGGTCAGCGCGGATCGTCTGGTGCTCCGAACACCGAGAAACCCTACCAATATATCCCGAGCCGCTTCTTTACCGATCAGCTCACTGCGTTCGAGGTGTGGATTTCACGCGGTGGTTCTGCACTAACAAAGCGTGGTCCTCTGTCACTACCTCTCCAGAACGGCGGGGATCGCTGTGACACGCCTGACGTTGTAAATGGAACCACTGCCCCTGATGCTGATCTTGTCCCACGTAAACCCCCCGATCAGCTCCCCATCGTCCTGCAAGTGCTGCTCTCGCAGCCCCATAGACTTCGGGCCCTGATTCTTCTTTCCCAATTTGTAGACCTCGGACCCTGGGCCGTCAACCTTGTGCTCACCATTGGAATCTTCCCATATATATCTAAGCTCCTGCAAGCCGCAGGCCAGGATCTGCGTCCGGTGTTGATCTTCATATGGGCACGCATCCTTGCAGTAGATCCCAGTGTTCAAGTCGACCTATACAATACCGGGGGATTCAAGTACTTTGCGAATGTGCTGGCGACGCAAGAAGACAACGAGCTGCCTAACAGCAGTGAACACAAGGCTATGTGCGCATTCATTCTTAGTGCCGTTGCAAGAGACTTCTATAACGGCCAGATGGCATGCTGGCGCGAAAGGGTGTTCGACGCTTGCTCCGAGCGTCTGGAAGAGGGAGACTTTCTGCTGAGGCAGTGGAGTGCGCTATGTATTGCGCAAATATGGGACTCCAATGATGAGGTCAAAGTGTATGGTGTCGATCGTGGGATTCAAGACAAGCTCATTCTCATGCTGTCTGACGACTCGCCTGAAGTCAGAAGCGCAGTCCTATACGCACTCTCGACTTTCATGGGTGCGGCTGGGGGCAAAGGTCAGGGTGGCGCTGGGACTGGGACTCAGTATCAGCTCGAAGAGCGCATTCACTTCAGGATGGAGGTGGCTGTTGCAACTGGAGCCACTCTTGCTGTGAGGGATGATGCAAGCCCAATGGTGCGTAAGGAGTTACTCGTGCTCATAAGCTGCCTTGTGCGCGAATGGCGCGGGCACTTCGTTGTCTGCGCGTGGATGTACTGGGAAGAAGACCGGCGATGGCGCGCAGGTGAACCACAAACCCATCATCATCACCATGCGGAAGAGGAGGTCACAGCTCAGGCGCTCGCTGAATGGCTGGACGGATTTGGCGATGACGAAGGTTCGAGGGAAGAAAACCGAGTGTTACTCTCAAGCTTTTTTACAATATTTGTGGTGCTCATGGAGTTGACAATTGACCCATACCACGAGGTTGCGACACTCGCACAGACCGTGATGGACTACATTTTTGCGCTGCTCCTTGCATCACCTTTTGCAAAACTTAACCTTGTCCCCCCACTACCCGTCGATTACAAGCCCGCTGGTACAAATGGCGTGCACTCACGTGTGAGCTCAGCACAAGGATCACCGCTGATACAACACCCGCCCTCGCCGTCATTATCCCGTCCATCAAATACACTCCGGCGCACGTCATCCTTTGCAAACACACTGCGTCATCTTACAGGGGGTATCCCTTTCCCCAGCAGCGATGAGGCACGCGCCCCGCCAAGCCCTGTACCATCCTCACTCTCCCGCTCTGATATCCTTGCTGCATCTCGTCCCCCATCACCAAACTTCAACGTCGCACAGTATGCTTCGCCCTATTCACGTCCGCCAACGCCGTCACGGGATAAAGAAAGAGACTTGGCTTCGCCTCCGGTGTCACCAACTGCAGGAACTGCGACCTTCCTACCTTCGCATGTGATGGAAGCGCTTGTTGAGGAAGATATGGTGCGTTTGCGAGCACGACGTCGGGAAGGAGCACATGGGCGTCGTTCCGCAGGCTCGGGGCTCGCAGGGGGTAGTGCCGGCGGTGGCCTGAACAGTCCATGCGAAAGTACATTCTCTATGGACTCGAATGTCAGCAATGTGCCGCTTGGCTGTGGGACTGGTAATGGACTGCGTGATGTACTGCCTTTGAAAAGCTCGTTTTTTGCTTGGTGTTGCGAATACTTTACGGAGCCGCAGATGCGGGTACGTGCCATGTGACATTCGTGGGTCCTAAATATTGATACTGATTGTGCTCTTGTTTTGTTTTTACAGCAAACGGAGGCGGACGAACCAGGAAGCGTGCAGTACAATTACCAAGTGTGGAGGCAGCAGCGAAATGAGCAAGTCATTACAGAGACGCAGAAACAGGCAATAGTTGCTGGTGCGTACTATGTCCCGATGTGATAATTGACACCAACGCTGCGCAGAGAGTTCAAGATGGGATCGTCCTGTGGCCAACCTGCACGTGAACAGTCATCCCTTGTGCATGGCAATGCATGCATACGACCCCCACCTAGTTATCGCGAATGACAACGACATGATCAGGTTCGCGTGTGATTTATCTTGTGCTGTAATGACCCTATTGACGCAATCACACCGCAGTGTGTGGGATTGGACACAGCGCAAGCGCTTGAATTACTTCTGCAATGGTAATCCTAAAGGCACAAGCATCACGTCGCTGCAAATAATTAACCAGGATGTGGGCGGGATCATCATGACTGGTGCAGGTCAGTCCTTAACCTCTTCGTAATCTCAAATACTTATAAGTTGTGCAGCCGACGGCATCGTGCGTCTGTACCGGAATTACGACCCCACAGTGAACCAAGGTCCACTCCAGATGGTCAGCTCATTCCGTGCACTGCATGAGTTGATCCGGGTGCGTAGGGGTAGTGGCCTTGTGCTAGATTGGAAACAATCGGGTGGCACGCTGCTGGTTGGGGGCGACTCTCGCATTATCCGTGTATGGGATGCCCACACGGAAACTCAAGTCCTGGTAAGAGGGCAATACCTCGTAGTGAGGACTAATCACTCATGACTTCAAAGGATCTAGAAACTAATTGCGAGAGTCCTGTGACGTCTATCACATCTGATCAGGGCTCGTCGTCCACATTCATTGTTGGCTTTGCCGATGGCCTGGTCAAAGTTTTCGATCGTCGACTAGAGGAAGAGGACGCTATTGTTAGATCGTATCATGATCATCACTCATGGGTACAGAATGTCAAATATCACCCACGCATCAGTGGTCAGTTCTTGTCTGGAAGGTGAGCTGAAGCCGTGTAGTGTGTGTACTGGGATTCACATAAATACAGTCTCGCTGGCGAAGTCCGTCTGTGGGATTTGAGAGGCCCTGATACAGCGATTCAGGCTTGGGACTTGCACCATACGGGCTTGTCTGCGTTCGATGTACATTCACAGACGGGCGTGTTTGCCACGTAAGTGCGATTCTGTTTTAGGCAGAATGGTTGGTTGACTAGGTTGCAGAACATCTGCTCTTACTCCTGCCAACTTTAGGCACCAGCGGCTTATGGTACACTCTATATCAGATTCATTGTTACTCTCCACGCTTAGCCTACCAACGGGCCTCAACGCGTATCCATCTCGACCACCGACGCCTTACATCCCTAGGCATACGTCTTTCGCGTTCCACCCAATGGAGATGTTGTACGCTATTGGACAGCCTGATGGTTCTGGTGTGTTGCATGTGTTACTCGACATGAGTCAAACCGCTAATCACTCCTTGCATTATCTAGTTAAGATCACTGGATGCAAACTCACCTAGAGAATGTATATTCATGAATACCCGCGCATCACCATCATTAAATTATATGGTGGCTGTGTCCATTTTCCTCATTTTACTGCTTTCTGTAAGCCCGCTGGACTTGCGAATGCTTTTTCTTTTGGCAACGTCCTTATATCTCAGCTCAACTAACTCATAATCAGATCTTTCTGTAACTACTACGCCCTCATGTATCCCAAAATGATCGAAGCAAATCAGTCTGTCCGACAACGAGTTGTAACTTTCTTGTAAAGCCCAACCCTTCTGGCTCTACAAGTTCCTGCAAGTACATATAATATACCTATAATTGATCCTACAAGTCCAGATACACCGCCCACAGTTCAGTAAGAGTAAGTAAAATTATAACGACCAAGACGATACGATGAGCTCGTAATGTTAATGAATTGATAAGTCGTAATGGGTGTGGTATGATGTGGTAATGATACTTATCAAATATCAATCGCAATGGCATGATCTAAAGCATCAAAGTAGTAGCCTGAGCATACGACAGGCCCTTCCAAGCGGGAGATTCGGGGGTAAGAGAGATGAATTCCCAAGGTTCATTAATCCCAATGTCGTGTCCAAAGTCGTCAAGAGCGATGACCGAACGAACAGGGGGGAGGATCTCGAAGTCAACATCTACGCACAACTTCGAGTCAGCGTTTTCATAAACGAAATCTTGCAGCACCATACCTTGCGCCTTGGATAGTTTCTTGGTCCTGAACGTCACGAAATCCGCAAGCGCCATCTTGGAGAAACCGGATTCGTTTCTCGGCGTTGGTGCGATATTAATGGGGCGACCGGATCCAGTGAAGGTACGAGGGTCAGGCTCATCGCCATCCCAGAACTCCATGCTGGCCCTCCTGGCAGCCCGGTTTAAGTGCCCCTCCTTGAGCACTGGTGCTCGTACCCTCGCTGCCGCTTTCTCTTTGCGCTCTTTCATCTGCGCGTGCTCCTGCCGCTCCTTCGTCTGGTGCCTAGCGCGTTCATATGCGCGCTGATCCTTCGCATCAAGTTCAATGAGACTATCTTCCACCGTCTCACGCGAATGCTGGAGGGACTTCTCAGAGGATATGGTAGACATGGATGGTTGAAGCTCAAAGGACAGTGTCTCACTTATATAGATAGGCGGGAACGATATCCCGCAGCGGTGACGGCGACGGCGGAAGCATTGCCTTTGAGGGTCACAGCACCACGGCCAAGTACTGGTTTGAAGTGGATGATAAATAATGGTAGGATTAGCTCACAGCTTTGCCAAGCTAAGGCTACTGTGGCCCATCACCCAAGATAACGAAACTCCGATCGTAAACGTCATCACGTGACTACGAGGCCCCGCGTGGCTCTCTCATTTGAATCTTACCTTCATTGGAGTGCCGGAGACAGTAGATGCCCTGAGCACTACTGAGAAATAGTATTATTGTCCTCAATCACCACTGTGACCGCAATCTTACGCGAGCGACATTAAACACGATCGTCTCCGAAATGATCCTGTAGCTCCACAGCTCCGGACATGCTGGGCAGACTTGGAGCTGAGGCGGTCGAAGTCAGAAGAAGCGCCCACAGCGATAACAGTCAGTCATCTTCCGAATAGTTCTGTTATAGGTGCGTTAGTTGGTCCTGAGCGACGAGCTACAAGTACTGATAAAATTTACAGTAGCGGTGCATGGGGTCCCATACGCGTTGGGGTGAAACAGATGAGAATTTAGCCACTTTCTAAGTCATTCTGTCGGACAATGACTACGTAAAACACCTTGTTAAGGCCTACAGTGGAACCAGTAGTCCAGGAAGCGGCAGCGGTACCGAAATTGCAAACTCCCAAAGCATGCAGCTGACTCGGTTCTCGAGTGTTTCTCTATTTTTTTCCCGCGCACTGTGCAGCCCCTCATGAGTGTATGGACCATCGCTTTATAAAATATACACACCTCACTCACGTAGCTACCCACAGACTTCCATTTCGTCTCCTTCGGAGATAACAACAGATGAACTTATTAGTGAAGCCAGCCAACAATCAGCACATTCTTCATCAGGCTTGCTGCAAGATCTTACCAAGGAACTGCAGAGGAGCTCGCCGTTTCCCATAACTTGCGGAGGCTTTGGAGACATCTATAAGTGTCAGTTAGTGAGGCCAGATGGGACCATTCCAGTAAGACCAGTCTGTGCACTTGCGTCACATATTTTCCTAAATATAATGAAGGTAGCAGTGAAGACCATCCGTGCTTTACAGTCTGATAACGAGGCATTGATGCGGAAGAATAAGAAGGTAATGTCCTCCTCAATAATTGGGGTTTTATATTGAATTCGGCATAGAGAATTCGTCGCGAGCTGAAAGTTTGGGGTCGCCTCAAACACAACAGTATTCTTCCACTCTGGGGAGTGGCAATCGACTTTGGACCTTATCTCGCAATGGTCTGTCCATGGGCTGATAATGGAACTCTGACTGGCTTTCTTGAGCGCCAAGAAGATGTATTGACGTTGGAAGATAAGTTCACCCTTGTGAGCCCGTATTCGCGAGTATTTCTGGACACTCGTTGACCTGTTGATGCATGTCAGTTGACTGATATCGCTCTTGGGTTACAATATCGTAAGTGATCCTTCACTCCATCCGTGTTTCAAATGCCAACAAGAGTCAGTCCATAGCAAATCAATTGTCCATGGTGACCTGACGGGGGTGTGTACGGGGACATGCAGCGGTACCCCTCATTACTGATGTCCTGATTCTCTAGTCAAATGTCTTGATCTATGAAAATGGTCGGGCATGCGTCACTGATTTCGGTCTCTCAACTATGATCGAGGAGTTTATCGGTACTTCCTATCTCACGAGCTCCATCAGGGGAAATGTCCGATGGGCAGCTGCAGAGCTATATGACATACCCGAGAGCGATGAAGATGATTCGCTGGTGTCGCTCAGCGTTGAATGTGACATCTACTCATTTGGTAGCATCATCTTGCAGGTGAATACTTGAGTTCTGGGCCAAAAGAACCTTTGTTCACTTTGCGAATGCTTTAGGTATTAACTTGCAAGGTACCCTACTACGATGTGAAGAAGGATAATGCTGGTGTTGGGACACGTCGTCAGAGGAAAGAAATCAGAGCCTCCCAAGGGCTCGCAAGTTGTACCCGCGCACTGGGAGTTCATACAGCGGTGTTGGTTACCTCGTGCTAGTCGACCATCAATTGGAGATATTGTGCTGTTTGCACATCAGCGATACTGCGAGCTGCATTCAAACTAATGCAGTTGATGATGGGAATTCGTCTGGGAAACCGTCTGGGATTTGGCCTGGGACCTGGTCTGGGGGCTGGTCTGGGCACTGGTCTGACAGTGATAGCGATGAAGGTAAAGACTCTGAAGAGTCAGATGACGGCAGCTCCTCTGGAACCGACCAGAGTGTCGAAGGAGAGAGTCTGGATGGAGACGATGATGGAGAGTATGATAAAGAGCAACAGGGCAGTGAGGGTGACGAGCACGACAAGAGGGGTGACGAGGATGATGAAGACGACAAAGGGGTTGATGGTGATGAGGTCGTTGGCTTAGATGGAAGGGACGGGTCCGACGACAACGACAGCTCCTCCGGAATTGACCAGAATGTTGAAAGAGAGGACTTCGACGAAGATAGGGATGACGAAAGTGTGGAAGGGAATGAAGGGCATGAAGGCAGTGAGGGTGATGAGAATGGTGGTGACGAGGAGGAGGATGAAAGCAGCGAGGTTGTGGAGGGTGATGGCGATGATGAGGGTGATGAGGACATCAATGGCCCGGACAATGATATTGACTATGACGATTCGGATGGTGGTGCGGACGGTGGCTGGAGTGATGACTCGGACGTATCCTGGTAGACTGGATCTGACTAGCTACTACATTATTAGTACTGGGACTCAGTACTCAGTACTCAATCACGGTGCAATTTATTTAATCATTTGCCAGTGAATGAAGATTGTAACGTGGATGATTGTAACCTCAGGCCTCAGTACTAGTCAGTACTAGTCCGGCCGCTCTGACTGACTCGGATTGGTGGGTTTCGCGGCGGATAATGATATTACTTAGAAGTAATCCTGCACGTCCGCGTATCATAATTCGAGTCTCATCGCCAGCCGATTAAATGAATACTATAATCACCGAGAGTCTAGGCACCTCGCCGAGTCGTTGCGTTTACTAATTGCCAGCCAGCCATAACCTTGCATGTAACGTACGTACACAAAACGTAAGTACGTGTTCTTGTTGGAGGCAGGGCGCAACTACGCAAGACCTTCTAGTTTCATACTTAGTATGAGCTCATATCCTTTTCCAAACGTCTTCCAGAAATCCATTTACCCCTGCAGCCCTTCAAGTCATTTTGGGGCCGAATTACCCTTCACTACCGGTGTTTCATACACTAGTTCAAGTTCTAACTTGATTGAACATACCAGGGAACGATACCATAAAAACTCATTCTGACGAAGATTACAGCTTGCCATGCCTCGCGAAAACAGTTTTACGGACTCTGTCGGACGTTCCTTGACGCCTGACCTTGAGGACGAATTTATGCCATCGCCAAGTCCAGCATTGCGTTCCGCATCTCTTGCTCATATCGAACTGTCTTTACCCTCCAATGGATCCTTTCAAGAGCCTGTGGCTCAGTCTTGCCGACGTGCATCTTCGTTCAATAATTCCGGCCTCACTGCAGCCAGAACGTGCTTCTGCCATCCATTTTCAAACTCCCAAAGATCGCTTCCGTGCATGTGTTCGTAAAGTAATTTCCATGCACCGAACAACAACAGTCTTTTCGGGCTTCGGTCTCGCCGGTGCGGAACCTGGTGTTGACCCGCGAAGGCAGTCCGCATACCTCCATTATGCGCACATTCGTGAGCGCTGCGAGATCCAGATCAACGACTATAGTACCGTGAGGAGCAGCTTTGGAAAGATGGATAATGAGCGTTTCGTACAAATGTTCAATGATGAGAGAAGTTCGGAGAAGGAGTCTTGGGTGAAGGTGAGGTGGATAAATGTGTGCGGCATCAGCTGGGATGTGATGAGTGTGCTTGCCCTGAAGTACGGTATGTAAATGGCTATGATACCTCATGCGAGGTGTTGATAATCATCCTGCATGCGTAGGCCTTCATCCCCTCGCCCTCGAAGATGTATTGCACAAACACGGACACACGCGCTCCAAAACGGACTACTACAATCAACACCTCTTTATCCATGTCTTATCTCACACACTCGCTTCCTCCTTTTCATCTCACTCCTACCTACCAGAGGACGAAGACCCACTACGGAGCTTCTCACCAGGTCCAATGACACCAGAAGACTATCACGAGAAGGGGTACTTCAAGGATAATAATGTTCATGATGCAGAGGCTGGTAATGAAGATCACACGATGCATGACGACAGTGTGCCTGCAACCTGGCGACTTGGAAGCACTGTCAGGAGCAAAAGGTCAGCGAAAGCTGACATGGAGAGTGTGGCAAGGTCCAGGGAGGATGGCTTAACCCTGCTGACATCTGCTACACGGAAAGAGAGTGCAGTGCGTTGTATCTCTCACATTCTGCGTTTTTCTTCAACCCTTTGACGCAATTCATGATGTTTCGATTTGCACTTTTTGTTACTTTTCTACTCTTTTATGATCTCTTTATCAATTCGGTTCCAAACTAAATACTCATCAGAATGTCCTCCCTGCGCAGTCACGAAAACGCCGGGAGAAAGCTCGTATGACTCTTGCTGATCTCAAGAAGGCAGGTCGCGTGGACGTTTGTATCCACCCGATATCAATTTTCTTATTGAGAGACGGTGAGTGCTGGACTCATTCGCCTAGTTGTTTCATTGTGTTCTTTTACATTTGTTTTCTGCCACATTCTATCCTTCCTTCTCGGTATACTTGTCTTGTCTTGTATCAATCCATGCCGATAGGAGTGTACGCACATCCGGTGGGCCACGTGTATGATAATGTATGGTGCCATGTATCCCGATTTTGAGCCAATATTGACTATATGCTTTTATTTCGACGCATATATTGCAATTTGTGCGCATTTTTGCTCTTGCTTTGATTTATATGCTTCGCGTTTGAGCTGCACCTTAGTTTCGAATGATAATAGCTCACTCTACCTGACACAGGCACAGTAATCTCTGTCATGCCGTCCAATTTCATTCATTTCACAGGTCCCATCATGGCGCGTCTCCGACAGCCCGACACGGGGCTGCGTGCATCTGCAGATCCCAGTCTACTCGTTCAAAGTCTGCTCGACCTCATTGTGGACTCTGCACTTGAGGTAGTGGATGCATTCCACGAGAAGATATTGCAACTAGAATACGATGTGTTAATGAAGCCGAATATGAAAGTGGTTACAAGGCGTGCGCATTATTCCCATCGTCTGTTTCTGCTTGTGTTGACAGACCTGAAACTAGTGCACATTCTTTCTGGTGATTTGATACTGCATAAGCGGACCCTTGGGCCCCTCAAGACGGTCATTTATGGGCTACGGCGGTACGACGAGGACCGGTGTGCTGCACTTCTCTCACCTGCTGAGAAGGAGGTGCAAGAGCAAAGCAGAGAGAAAATAAAGGGGTTCATGTCCCATAAGAGCAAAATATACCTGGTGCGTCGTGACCTGTTTTCGCCTCTTTGTATAAGTCTTGGCTGTTGAGATACGGTGGCAGGCGGACGTACACGATCATATGGAATATATCCTTACAAGCATGGATATGTTCGCAGGGATAACAGAAAACCTGATGAACTACACGTTCAATGTGCGTACTTGTTTTATCTCGACTCTCTCGTCTTGATTGACGTGAGTGACAGATAAAATCATACGAAATGAATGTAGTCATGTGCGTGCATTTTTTATTCCATCGGCATGCTTTGAGTTGATGTCAACTATCAGGCGCCGCCTCACCCTCGCAACTATCATATTCCTCCCGCTGACATTGCTCACGGGTTACTTTGTATGTTTCCTGTCATCTCACTTGCCCCACCGAGTATAACGTACTGCATAGGGAATGAATTTTGCATCGATGTGGAGTGTCAAGTACCATTCCGACGCCCTGTACATATCCTATCTACTGACACAAAACCCGAGGCTGACGTATACATGCACACAGATTTTGGAAGATTGCAATCCCTCTCATGGCATTCGTTATACCCTTATTTATGTGGTCAGACATAAAGCATGCTGCGCATTACGCTGAGAAACGGTGGGCGGCAAGGAGGTCATTGATGGTGCGTCATTGCTTGGCTTATTGTGTACTATGTATGTTAATAATCGTCTGATAGACTACCAAGACAAGTTGGCGTGACTGACCGATGCCCGCAATATTCAACGCGATTGTATTGCGTTTGGTAGATTTCGGAGTATTTGACGTTGCTTGCTTGCGGACTAGCGGCGATAGCTAGAAATGCTAAGTGTGGTTGCTACGGGACACACCTCTTTCTAAGCTGAGAACACATGCCTTGAGTGGAGTGGACTAGCACTCCTTTGATCACATATACCTTGACCGCTTTAACATACTGGTATGCTTGTTCAGCAGGGATCTTGTCCAGTGACCCTATTTCCCGCGCTCATGAGCTGTAGCATTAGGCTCTCAGGTCACACGTTGAGTCAGGAATCAAAGCTGATTCTCGAAACGTACCGAGGTCCGACAGACGCACAAACTTCGCGCCGGCGTTGCAGCGCAATCCGCTTCTGAATAATGTTCAGGATGACAGAGTGGCCAGCTAAGTGGCTGCTTGTGCATGCAGCGAGGACCCTGGAAGACTTTATGGCTATTTCTTAACTAAAGAACAGTTTCCCTCACCTCATTTGTGTACAGGGAGGCGTGTCGAGCTTTGCGTTTGGAGATCAAAGAATTCCTTCTCTTTGATCCCGGACCGCATTAGCCTGCCATGCGTCATGATGGATGAATAGAGATTTTACTCCGCTTATTCAGAACTTATACTTAAGCATGCTTGCTTAGCAGGAGGACTTCTCCGACCGCCTTTTCTTCGACATTTGTCCCACTAGATCATGACAAGAGATGTCCCAACGAGATGTAGAGCGGTCTTGCTCGCCATTTTCATTGCGTTTGGTGAGTTCACTCTCGTCACTGCTATCCTGTGCTAATTGAACTCTTCATTGCAGGAGGTGCGCGGCTGTCATACAGAATAGAAAACGTACGTCGTTTATTAGCAACTGCCAGGTTCCCGTTTCTTTGCTTATATAGGCAGTAGATTAATGTCCACTCAATTAACATTCGGTAATAGGCTTCTTGTTCGGGTATGATATAGGTGTGATATCAGTATGTACTCATATCTTCTCGGTCCTTGGCATATCTAAACTTCTCTTCTACTCCAGGGATGTCTGATTATGCCAGACTTTATCCGCCAATTCGGCCAAGAAGGAACCAATGGTCAGTACTACCTGTCAAGTTCGAGACAATCGATCATTGTCTCTGTTCTATCGGCTGGGTAAGACCGCGATATCTGATTCCACTCCGTGCTGACATTCGTACTCATCGTAGCACGTTCTGGTGGAGAAATCATATCTCGTTGCTTTTAATATGGTCTGACGATACCTGAAGTGGAGCCATCGTTCAAGCGTTCACGTCTGATCGGCTGGGACGTCGTGGATCCATTCTGTTCTGGTCAGCTATCTTCACTGTCGGCGTGGCTATCCAAACCAGCACGACATACTCTCTTGTTCAGTTACTCATGGGGCGTTATATCGCAGGCTTAGGTGCCGGTTCATTGTCAGGTTGGTGCTGATGTCATAATATGACTTTGTGATCTAACTCCATCTATTCAGCTATCGTGCCCTTGTATAACGGAGAAACGGCACCGAAAGCTATTCGTGGTACGATCTTGGCTATCTATCAAGTCCAGATTATCTCGGGGTTCGTGAAGTCTTCATCCTCCATCGTAACAATAGGTAACGCTTGTTATCTAGCGTATTTTTGAGTTATGTGATTGAACTTGGAAGTCACACAATCAACAACTCTGCGTCCTGGCGACTCCCCATCGGATTGCAAATGGTCTGGGGTATCATAATTTTGTCTGGAATGTTTTTCCTTCCAGAATCTCCGTACGTGCAACTTCTGAGAACCTCTCATTTCAAACTGATTTGACCTTCATTAGCCGACACCTTCTCGGAACTGGACGAAGTGACGAAGCGCGCAAGGTCATTGCAGAACTCAACGGAGTCCCTGAAGACGACCCTATTGTGATTGGGATTGTTAAGGAACTCGATTTTGCTATCAAAGCAGAAAATGAGGGTGGTAAAGCGACTTGGTTAGAGTGCTTCTCCACGAGAAACGCACTGTGGCGTCGGACGATGAATGGAATCATGCTGCAATTTATTCAGCAACTTAACGGCCAGAACTTTTACTGTAAGATCCTTCGTGCCGATTTATTTTTGACCTCTGATGGCTATTGTCGACAGACTTCTATGGCGACACCTTCTTTCAGAGTGCAGGTGCAGGGCGAGTCTTAAATTTCTCCGCTTAAAGCAGTTTAGCTCATGTAATGGCAGGCTTTCACCTTATATCATCCAGACGATTCTTGGAGCGGTGTCACTTTTTGGAACTCTCCCCGCGCTGTACTTCATCGAGACTTGGGGTCGCCGAAAGGTATTCCTTCTTCCACGAGATGATCAGAGCAGAAATTTTACACTTTCCCAGTCCCTGCTCCTTGGCGCGTCTGCGCAAGCTGTCTGTGCACTAATTGTCCGTGCACATTATTCGTTGGCAAACTGTGCTGGACTGATACTTCCGTTAGGTTGCTGTGGTCGGGCATACTACCCTTGCGCCTACTGGAACGCCAACTTCAGCACTTACTGGTCGTAATAGAGCTGGGGGCAACATTGTCATTACTTTTGCAGTATTTCAAGTGTTCATCTTCAACACGACTTGGGGACCTACTGCGTGGGTGTACCTCGGAGAGTCTTTCCCTCTTCGAGTGCGCCCCAAATCGATTGCTTTCGGGACTGCGTCAAGTATGATTGCTCCCTTTTCGCTATTTGAATTCGTTACTCACGCTTGTTCAAGACTGGTTCTGGAACTTCATGCTCTCGTTCTTCTCTCCAAGGATTGTCGAGCGGTGAGTCTAAACTACAGCCAAAGGTTCTCTCGATGTTTGAACACCTCGCCAGGATTGGTCCAATGATAATGTTGGTCTTCTTCAGCATGCTTGTCTTTGGATACATCTACGTGTATTTTGCTATTCCTGAAACCAAAGGTCTAACTTTAGAAGAGGTGATGATTTGAGCACGTTGTAAATTGCTACCCATCTGATGAATATCTCAGGTGGACGAGATGTATCGCTCTGGCATCCCACCCTGGCGATCAGTAGGCTGGCGACCGAGCGAGAAGCATTATCATCCCGAAGTACATGAGAAACAGGCGTCGGACTCCGTGGAAAATTGCTAGAGATATAAATATTAAATACAAGGTCCTTGTATCGCCCCGTCTTATTTTTTGTCAAACCTCCAAATTATACACCATTCTCAACCACATGTCTCTTGCAATGTCATATCCTCCGAATGATCGACACTTGTATCATCGTCTATCGTTCACTCCGCCAACAACCACACATACTATGTCTTTCAAATGACACTCACACGAAGTAGAACTGAATGTCAAAAGCACGTCACACGAAAAGACTGAACATCTATGAGTATCAAGTAGGAAACATTGATTGAGATAACGACGAGAGACTTGCAGTTTTGGACCGGTCGTACGTGGTACTGTTTTTCACTGCGCGTCACGTATCGTTGCAAAACCTCTCAGTTGGGTTTCCTACACTCACTGCAAGCCGACTCCCACTCTCAGCACAGCAGGAATAGCCGCAATGATTAACGCATCAAACGCACACCCCGATATCTTCCTTTGAGTGATGCTGTGACCTGTTAGCATTCCGAAATAGATCGGCTCTTTATGTTTCAGAAACGTTAGCATTTGACTGACGTTATTTAATAGTAAAGGTTGGACCCCGCAAACTGTGCCGGAGAAAGGTACGAATCTTTCTTATGTATTGTCGTCTTCATTGTCCTAATTACATGTCTTCGTTGTCCTACTCGTCGAACTCGCGGTCTCTGCGAAAAGCATTCTCTGCCTTTTTTTGTTCCAACCCTAGTGCTCATGAATGGCGCCACCTCTCTGCCTCCTCCCCATAACCCTTAACACCAATTCAGCGCCCGCCTTGCCATGAAATATGCTGTCGCCGCCGGTCAAAAAATTTCGGAACAGCGCATCATGCCCAGGCAGCACGTCCACGTCAAGATCTAGCATCAGATCCCCTTCGCGTTCGTCGTCGACATCTTTTCCCTTGTTGTCTTTCCCCACCAGCCTACTCTTACCACTACCTCGCGGCAGGCGCCTTCATATTTAATATGCAACACACTGTATATGGTCTAAGAGACGGGCTCTCCGATGTAGGAGCCGAACAATTTCGGAGTGGTAACAGCCTAGGTGAAATCCATCTTGGCCAGCCACGGATCCGAAATGAAACATGTCCGGTAAACGTCAAGTCGGAAGGTATCCGATGAACCTAGCAGGTGCCACTGGTTCTTACTAGTAGGTGAAGTTCGTCTTAGCCAGCCACGGATCCGAAATATGACATCCCCGGTAAGCATCAAGTCAGAAGATATCCGATGAACCTAGGTGGTTCTTACGATACTACATTTTAGTCCATGGCATGGCAAATAAAAGCCCTCGTGATTCTGACTAGAGGGTCCATAGCACCCAAATACACACTGTCGATTCCAACCATGCAACTCACACTCATCTTCACCACACTCGTCACATTCGCTGCTATTGCTGCGTCACATCCGACACCAAAATTGGTCAAAACACACGTACTTGTGAGAGGACTTGTGCCATTCTTGTTGATGAGAACGATGCTGACTCGGAGATGCCTATGCAGCTCTGGCTAAGGGCCAGGGGCTTTCTGACCTAATTGATCTTCACTTCACTGGGCTTAGGATGCCTGATACACCCGACTCGGTCGACTTTGGAGATACACTCGTATCGCCTCGTCGTTCCCTCAATTCTGATGCAAGCGGCGAAGCCGGCCACAATGACGACATTGACAATGACAATGACGTTCACAAGAGAAGCTCCCGTGACTCTAAGTCCTCCGTCTCTCATTCAACCAATGAAAGGGACAACGGCGAAAACAACGGCGACAATAACGGCGACAACAACAACGGAGACAACAATGACAATGGTAACTACGGCGGCACCAACAACAACAACGGCGACAACAACGACAATGGTAACTACGGCGGCACCAACAACAATGACAACAACAACGGTGACAACAACAACGGCGACAACAACAATGGTGACAACAACAACGGCGACAACAATGACAACGGCAACAACTACGGCGGCATCGACCAGAACGGCGCAGAAGAAATCGAGGTCATTGACAATGACGTTCACAAGAGAGACTCCCGCGACCCTAAGTCCTCCGTCTCTCATTCAACCAATGAAAGGGATGGTGATGACGGCGGAGACAAAGGCCGGGAAACCGGGGGCGACGATGACAGGAGGCGCAAGGACCTTGGATCCTACCGTGTTTACGAGAGAAGTAAGTCATTACAGGCCTGCCGGATCACTACAGTCGACTCCCTCCTAACGCATACCAGGTATAACCCATACTCCCTCATAAGACATACATTTTTGGATTTCCAAAGTTAGTTTGCAGGGCTTTTGCTCTCTTGAATACCCCATACTCCCTAATAAGCCATACCTCTGGGGCTATCCCAAGAGGTATGCGTTAGGAGGGAGTCGACTGTATGTATAACACCTGTCATCAGAAGCTTTTGTTTACCATCTCGAGGACGAGAAGCCCTACAACTAGGCAATATATCCGAGAAAGGTACTGGTTTTTTCCTCTTACATTACTATGAAGTCTTACAAGTTGCTGTTTGTTCAGCTTTCGAATTAGGAAAGGGTTGCGAGAAGATGTATTGAGTTTAATACATCATATAGCTACAGTATCAGGGCGCAGCCTAGCTCGCACGAGAGTAGATGATCGAGTACGGACTCAATCAATAAGTTTAGTGTCTTGGACAAGTATTTGTTGACAGCGACGTGTTGACTGTTGGCGGTGGGCACCAAAGGACCCTTGGAGTCCAACTACTGACTTAGACTGAGTCTAAATTTAGATGCTATATACACTGCCATTTTACGATGAAGTGGATCGCGATGAAGTCCAGGAGCATCATGATTGGGCCAATGTTGTGTCATGAGGCTGCTATGTAAGCCCTCCATCGCGAATGTTCGGGATGGGTATGTCTTGTTTTCTATTTGTTGTTAGAGTATAGCTGTACTCGGTCTAGATTTGTCCTTGTTCTTGATGTGTCGGTCTCTACTAAAGTAATTTCACGATGCTACAACATACAATACATCAAACTTCAAGGCCTCAATACAAGCACCTTTCTTCCACAATCCTATGCCTGAAGTTTAGGCACGGTCGCAGGCGATAACCTTGGTTCGAATTGGCTATTGACCGGGAAAGATAATTCGTAGCCTAAACCACTGTCGGAGTATGCTCTGTCCCTCGGCTTGTAGCCCACGTTTCTGGTCCCTACAATATTCCGGTATCTATGATCACATCCGCTGCAACACACTGATGGAGTGCTTACCAATCTGTTCTTGATTCTCTGATTCTTGATTCTTCTCGCGAACCACTCTGCAGCAGTAGAACCAGTCTCGAAATTTTTGTCAGGTCGCTTCTTCACCGCTTCTGCAATAATATGGCTGGATTCGACAAGAGCCCGCAGGACTTTCGAGTTGCCCGGGCGGGTGAAAAAAACCAAGGACCACCGCTCGTATTCAGCCTGTACACCAGGAGGTGGACTATCCGCGGTCATTCGACGGATTAGCAAGGTTGACCATTCAAGTACTCATGCACGCACACGACACGGTGAATGTTGGATTGCAGGACGCCTCCACTGAAAAGAGATAACGCATCTCCAATATTGCAGACAGCATGTCCAGGAATGGGCTATCAGTAGATAAGTGTCTGTTGTACGTGCACGCGAGCACCAGACTCGTGCTCACTCGAATGTAGGACCACTCGTCATGACCGGGGGGAAGTACTTGGAGTCCACCGAGGCGATTGTGCAAGAAGCTCTGGTAAAGTTTGATTAAAAAGACATAATCCACGTGTCCAGTTACCCACCAGGCTGCCGAAATCAGTATGCGCACCTAGAGCAGGGATTTTCGCCGCTTCTTTGATCTGCACAGGAGGGTTACGAATACATCTAGCCTCACTACCACTATACTCCTCCAAGTCATGCAGACTCTCCAAAGTCCCTTTCGGCAGTCCAAGCTTGTCGTTGAATATATTCAATACAACATATGTCACTTCGAGACCTTTGCGGACAAAGGGTACAACCGTGTTTTCCATACGAGCATTTACGGTCGATGGGTAGGTGCGGTGAATGACCTGCGGGTATGCCAGAGCATCATCCTTCGAAACGTTTAAGAATTCGACAGAGTCCAAGGTGCCTGCATTTGCGTTAGTCTACTGCTTAGTAGCAGATTGGTCTAGAAATCCTACCAGCTGCATCAATCGCATTAGCCCCTGCTTTCTTGTATCTGATAAGGAACCCATATAAACGAGGCGCTCGTGAGCTAAATCAAAACCAACCCGAAAGATCGACCATCGTCTCCTTGCTCGAACTTCATACGTTCTTCCAAGGGCAAAGCCATTGTCTCAGCTCCCATATCAAACATCTCGCTGACTTCTTGGTCTGCGCCATGATTCTTTAAACTGTTAGAGAGTTAGGTCTGGCATGAATTCAACAAAATACTCAAATATGACGTACTACCAGAATCCGATAGTCGTCGCGGCCTCCCACAGTCGATTTACTTCCTCCGCATCTCCAGCCTTGATGAGCTCATAATCAATAATCAAGAGTGGATGTGTTCGAACATCGTTGGGGAAAGGAGGAAGAGTACTTCCAGGCATAATATGATCTAAATAAGGATGTGAGAATGGTCATCGTAGTACAGTGGTTAAGAGTGGATACACCAACGTTGAGTGAAGGCGGTAGGGTACTAGAGAATGCTTTGAAGAGGAAGTGCTATGGGAACTTGAAGGCGACCATTATATATACTACGTGATGTAGTGTAATCACCACCTGACCTCCAACGGCGTCATGAGCATTACCTATAAGTACTAGTGTACGGAGTGACTTTCCCGTTAAAATCATGGGGCAACGCATGCGTAACATTATGTAATCAACGTTATGATGCTCTTGCAAGGCTTGCAGCTAGCGCAGAAAAGTACGGCACACACTGGCAAATTCGGCAGAGAGCGTGATAGCCAACAGACGGGTATGTTCAGACTGTGAGATAACATTTTTCATCAGACAGACAGGCAGCAAGGTACTAGTTTGAGCCTGAGGGAAAGACCCAACTGCAAACCAAATATGACGTGTTGTGATGCGACGGTGACAGGAAGCGGGAACATAGCGAAATGCCAATATCGGGAGCAGACATGGGACAAGGATGGATTGGACGAGCGTTAGCCTAGTCAATACCGACAGTACTCGACGAGATTCGTGGCTGCTAGTAAGAAAAAGATACAATTAGCTGTAAAAGTCCTTCAGTACCAATCATGTAGGCTGAAGTCGGCTGACGTGCTAATCATTGCGAAAGAGTTGCTAGTAAGTCCTTATTCCTTGGGATGAACTTGCACTTGAATGGTTTGGGGAGCCTTTGGGTGTGTAAGCATGCGTTTCAGGCTCATAGAGGGAGGAGTTACCAGAGTAAACCAGAACTCTCGAACTCTGCAGGAGGTGTGATCTCTTCCCCTCTCGCATCCAGTGCTTTACCGATCGTGAATGCAGCAAGGATACAAGAAATACTGAGGTACAATGAGGCTTCGGCAAAATGTGTCCCTGGAATAAGATATCACCGTTCAGTGGCAGCTTGGATAGTGTTATGTAAAGGACGCGCACCAGGGCATCTGCGGCGCCCGAACCCAAAGATGAATTTCCGTGGGTCCAATTGGGGCGAGGGACCGAGAAATCGCTCAGGCCTGAATTCCAATGGGTCAGGGTACATCTCCTTATCCCGTGATATGGAAAGAATGTTTGCGATGACAGTTGCACCCTTGGGTATACGGTACCCTTCGTAGACATCTTCCCTCATCGCGTAGTGTGGGATCCCTGTGTCGCTGAGAGTGAACGGGAACTAGGACAAAAAAGTCATCTGACTGACCTTGCGGAGCCACGGGTGCCCAGCGGAGGATTTCCTGGATGAGCGCTCCGATGTACGGAAGCTTGCTTCTGTCGTCGAATACGGGAAATCGGTCCTGACCCACAACGGCATCAACCTCTGCCTGCGCATGCTTCTGCACCTCTGGATAAAGCAGCATCGCCAGGATAAAAGACGACAAGGATGATGTTGTCTGTTCAGTTTCAAAAGTCACATGAGGAAGGGTGCAAAAGACATCGATATCTTACGGTGTCTACCCCCCCTGCATAGATCCCCAGACTGCACCACTTGGTGATATCTTCTTGTTCGGCGCTGACCGTGGACCCGTCCTCTGGAAGGAGCTGTTCTGAAACGAAGGAATGCGTGTAGTTGCCACTGTGCTGATCGACGATGAGAATTGGTTAGGATCCCGGATAACAGGAATTCCCAAGGCTGCTTAGCAAGGCTTACGATTTGGTTTTTTGCCCAGTTAAATGGTATCATGTCGAGCCTACTTAACTTTTTCCCGAGGTCGAAGGCTAGACGCTTGAAACCTGCCCCTGGAAACCATACAGGTAGAAAACGCACTCATATGAAAGGTCGGTAAGCTGAGTTTTATGATAACGCGATGAAAGGAAGGCATACGTGGTGGTATCGTATCGACCAACCAACGTCCAGGCTGGGCTAGCACGGCGCTCATTTCCAGGCCTTCTTTCAGGATATTGATGAGATGGTCATTATTGTCGGTAACCTTCCAACCATATGCGAGGTTAAGGACAACGGCCGCTGTGTTCCTATACGCTCAATGAGAAACAAGCAAAACTAGCAATCACAAGAATTTCACGTTCTGATTTGCTCGATTAAATGTTCAGGGTTCTTGTGCAGAATACCAAGCAGTATATGGGATTGTTCGGTTTGCAGCAACTGGTAGCTTTGTATAGCGCGGGAACTCAGACTGGCTTTGAGGGTTGTGCGATACGTCTTGAAATACGGGTGAGTGCAGGATATGTTGAATGGATTCAAGTTGCGCTTGGCAAGTTCTGTCTGCATCCATACCCTTGGACGATCAGAATATATAGTGGCGCGTGAGTCGAGCAATTCGGTAGCTGATTGCAGGGAGCTAAGCACTATAAACTGTCGATTAGGCACGTGGAAGGAGAATATGGGCCCTACGAGACATGGGTCAGAAGTGTCGTAGCAAACGGGAAATTGGACAATATGCACCATAGCTTTCAGCCCACTTGGCATACGTTAGCCAAGGCTCTTTCTTTGGTAGTTGATGAGCATTTCCGGTAAAGAGCTTTGGACGTGGCCCAGGGGGTAGTGGTAATTTACTGTGTCGACGGCTGTAGAAGAAAACTGTGGCCAGTACAGCCACAAAGAATATGAGTATACCAGAAGACATTTAGCAAACAACAGGTCCGCTTTTGCAGTTTACGTTCTGAATTCTTATAAGTATCCACAGATGATATAAGCGATGCTGTCACCGGTTTGGTTTCTGGCCCATCTGCGGCATTAATTACGCTCTCGAAACACCGCATCACGAGCGCAGGAAGTCCCGGACACTTGCGAAACAAGTGACAGCAGGGAGCAACTTCTGTCCTAAAACATTTAGCTCCTGGCGACCGTATGGCGTAAAGACTTAACACCGTGGGCTCTTTATCTGTGAGTAATGTGTTGTCTTGAAACTACTGAGTACTGATGGGGCCTTTCAGGTGGCTTAGTCAGCTGTAACAGTAGTTTCATCAATACTTGCTTCTTCCTGTGAAATATTCGACGGTCCTTTATGTGGAATTTGCAGCCCGAAGAGGTGGCAAAAATATTAATTCAGGAAGAATCTACGCCGTTAACAGTGACCAGAATAAACCTTAATGTTGTTCTTGAGCAGGGTAGCTTTGAAATCAGCGACAAAAAGTGCTTCTCGCCGAGTATTTCAAAAACAGATCCTGCCTTTCGGCGTGCCGAGAGCTTAGAGAGTTTAGCATCTCATAGGACACACTGTTTCTGGCAGGAGCCCGTTTTTTTTTCCTGCAGCACAGCGTGCCCATGAAAAACAGTGTCCTGGCAGCCTCATGGGGTACGGTACCTTTTCTCGCTTGCTTAACCCGATGATATATTGCTCCGCTGTCTACTAGGTACCGCCTTCATCTCCTTTCCTCCCGGGTTCCTCGCTGCTCACAGACCTCGGCAAGTCGGCAACCACGACGAACGCGCGCGCATGTCTGGGGTCAGTACCAAACCTGCGTGTCCCGGGCCATGCGCTTAATCATGGGCGTAGATATTTTGATGCGGTCATGACGCGGCGTAGGTAAGTGTGGAGGTTGACATCAGTACAGAGACTGCGGAAATGTTTGGGGGAACTTGTTGTGATGAATGGTGCCTGACCCAGCCTGAATTGAGGTGAGACAGCACTTGATACTGACATGCGGCCGCGTTTGAAAACCAACATTGGATCAACGAATTAGAGAGCAATGCAACAATACAAGACGAACGCAAGACGCACACTAGTACGGACAAAGACTCGGAGAACAGCCGCTGTGAGTAGTGAAAACAAATTCTAGGCCTGTATGCAGATGGACATTTAAGTAGTCATATACATATGTTGATCATGAACGAAGAGTTCGAGCGAGAACATGATCACCGTGACAGTCCCAAAATTTGTCACATGTACCGCGTCACAGTCGCGTCACGACCGCGTCTTGAATTTCACCTACTATCCCCTTGTTATAACAACAGCTGTCCTCTGCGCCCACATCGCATCATTCAATACCTTGAAATTTGTCGCCACTCACTGCACAGTGCAATATGACTCTCAACAGTGCGAGAACTCCGCATGTGATGTCAGCCCGGGACGGCGTGGAGACAGTACTACTAGTAGTACTCGACGTCTCGCAATTCCAAGTAACCCATTGGGTCCAGCCTGGACCAGATCTCTTCTCAGATCTACACTGTTAAACCGTACAATCTCATTCCATACATGCCGTGGATCAACGGAATCGTCAAATAGTAAGCCCAACATGCCTGCCATGATGTATCTAATGACAAAGAACATAGACTGGCGATATAAATTGAATCTAAAGTCAGGGACTTTGCAACGGTATGAGCGGCATTACAGAAATGTGACTGTCCAAAGCCTTCGCATGACAAGGAAACGCGTCGGCAGTTCACTACGCTCAAAGATCATCGACTGCTCAGATCTACCTGGCTACGTCGACCGTCCTCACTACCCAGAATTTTTCGTCACTGAAATTTTATCGACTCACTGGTACCACTTTTGCAATGAACTGATACCAGCACGGTAAGCATACTATTGCTAATCAATGGTCATAAAGATACATTGATACTATTACAATCATTAATGCGTATATCGTCCATGTCAAAGTCCATGCAAGTCTAAGTCAGTCCAGTCTAACTAAATATTTGGGCAACTTGCGGCATCACCACAACCACCTGCGTCGTCGTCCAGGGGAATCGTCCTCCTCCACAACATTATTACCTCTAATAACCTTCAGGAACACGCTTTCTAGTGTCGCCTTTTCTACAGTGTATTCCTGGAAATCGCCCTGGGACGAGAGAATATGGAACAATCGCGCAAGGGTGAAACCACTGCCTTCTTGTATAGGAACTTCGAAGCGTGTGGCAACATCGTCGGCTAGACGGGAGCCTGGAATCCGACTCATGAGGACCTGAGCTCTAATCACGTCCTCTCGTGTTGGACAAGAGAAATGCACTTGGTACGTGGCATAACGCGAGACCAGGTTGTCGATTGTACCAACAGCTGCAAGGCGATAAGATATTGCGAATATCATAATGATTGATGTGCCTACCCAGTAATTGTTTCGAAATGATGCCAACCTTATTTGCCAGAGCTGAAGCTTCTTCCATGGAATCTAGATAGCCATCTAAATTAGAGGCAAGGTCAGGATGATTTCAAATAAAACGTACGTGTTGTGATAACAATTGCTTTTCCGACAGCGACGTTCCGGAGAGTCCCCCACATATCTCTTTTCATCTTCGCATCTACTCCCGTAGAAAACTCGTCAATGAGAACAACAGAGGGGTTACCTGCATGTATTCATGTCAGCCATCCCATCCACCTGGAGTTTCAGAACTCACCAATGAGGGCGATAGCAAGAGAGAGCTTGCGCTGATTCCCGCCGGACAGTTGACTCGCTAGTCTGTCAGCATACACATGCAATGATGTAGCAATCATGAGTGCCTCGATATTTGTCTTCAGTTCAAAGCCTCTCTTCAGGCCTTTGAGACGTCCATAGATCATGAGGTGTTCCCGAACAGTCAACTGAGAGTCGATCGCAGTAAACTGTGGGCAGACTCCCAAAGATAGACGTGCAGTTCTCGGAGAAGTTAACACTGATATCCCCTTGATCAATACATCTCCCATGTCCGGAACAATATCGCCACCTAGACAACACAGAATCACGGAAATAAGTCTCAGAGCGTGATTGTTGTATCAGATATACATACGAATCATGTTGAACGTTGTAGTTTTTCCAGCCCCGTTAGGCCCAAGCATGGCAAATATAGTGTCCCGAGACACCCCGTAAGACACGTCATCAACAACTTTATTGCCCCCAAAAGTCTTGGTAAGATGAAGAAGACGCAACACATCATTGGAGTTTGCCACCGAGTGCGCTTCAGCGGCAACGTCTTGTCGGTTAGCCTCGAAACTGGCCTGCAACTTATCCATTCGTACTCGCCGTCCCTTGGTATTGAGGAATCGGCGAGGGATAATTGACCCAGAATCAACCCATACGAGAATACCGAACAGCACAAAGCCATAAACGAAGAGGTAGAGGATGGGACCTCCAAATTGCATGAGGTCACCAAGTGATGCCGATGTCACAGGAGTCGTGCCGTCGCAAAGCAGCGAGAAGAGATTTACTGATACAAAGGCGGTACGCATCTACGACATGATGAAGGCTAGTTTGCATGAAGAAAATAACGCGACTTACGACACTAGCCACCGGCGATAGCACCGAAAACGTGAAGTCTAGAAGGATCATTTAAAACGCCAGGCCGCAGATGAACATATAACAACGGCTTACGGATGATCGTGATGATGCTGGCGGATTGAGACGCCGGCGCATAAGTCAGCGTCAAGAGATATCCACCCAAGTACATCTAGTCCTACATTAGCGGTGGTACGCCCAAGAAACTGCAAGAGCTCACGATATACATGATGATTTGGTATCCTGCCACTGCTGCAAAAGAGGATAGTGGCGACGACATGAACAACGACACGCAGTACGCGAATAACGCCCCAACGATGCCATACAAAACGAGGACGACCCACTGCCAGGATGTATAAGTGAATTACAACGCTCAAAAAATAAAGGTAAACATACGAAGAAACCAAAGCCGGTGAACTGATTCGTAGTGGTAGCGAAGACAATGGTAATGATTGTAGCAATTGTCACCGAGAATATTGAGTCCCACATGAGATGGCCAATCCAAAGCCCAACGGGATTTGAAAGACCGTTCGACAGTTGCATGGCTTGCTACGGCTGATCTTCGCTCTCTTGAGACATAGATGGAGAAGAACGCAGGAAAGACAGCCTAAGCGAGATATCAGCGCATGATTCTATGTATACGGAATTCTTGCACAACGCGTACCATAGCAGGCCCCGAAAAACGCCACCCACTTGAGATCAACCAGAGTCCCTGAAGCAAGATGAGGGAAAGCAGCATAGCTCGCGTAAATGAGGTTCGGCGTGCGTTCAATGACCCCAGAAGCGTTCAATGCCCGATTATACAGTATATTTGTTACCAGATTCATCATGGTCGGACCAGTTAAACCGGGCGGGGTTGCCTGCCATGCAAATAACGAATCACCCGTCAGCATATCTATCGATATCCCACCAAACGTCAGGTTAAGGTAGTCCTGATCAATCGTCGAGACAAATGTGGCATTGTCGACGATGTTCTCCGTTTTTAGGTATGACACAGTTGAGCCGAGAGTCGAAATGATATTCGGAGGTGACTCCAAGACTCGGGTACCAGGTCCAGACGCAGCTGAATAGTAGATGGGCGATTCGGGGAAGTACAACGAAATGACTGACTCGTTCCCGAGCTTAGTGGTACATGTTGTGTCCTGGCCAGATAGGAAGATTATCGGGATGCATGAACCGCAAACCGCGATGAGCACAGCTAACAAGGGCGTTAGCCAACTCCTGCGAGCGATTAATGCACGCTTATAAAAGATCGTCAAAGCTTGACTAAGAGGGGAACGAGCTCGCCCATCAGTAAGCTGAAGAGCTCCAGGTGGAGATGAGCCGTCGGTCGATTCAGCCAGGGTGGGCTCATAAATACCACCTGAACTTGAAATGGACTTCTCGGTGCTATCTAGGGAGGCGCTACCAGTTTGACGGGCCATGAGATCCAGGAAGATATCTTCAATGGTCGTCCCAAGTACATCACAGGACGCGACGCAAAGAGCATTGCGCTCCTCATCCAACAGCTGGAGGACCTTCTCCACGACAACGGGATCCTTTGACTTAAGGTGGTATGACGCCTGGCTCGGCGAGGAGAGTGACATGGAACACTGGGGGCAAACTTGACGAATACGATCCAAAGCTTCGGAAGGTGCTTTTGAAAGGTCCTTCTCAGTCAAATCAGGGAGGTCGAACATGACTTGGACGCTGTATCCCTGCCCGAGGTTTGACTTGAGAGCAACAGGAGTGCCCGCAGCTACCAGCTTGCCTGGCGCAGCTAAAATGGCTATGTTATCGGCCAACAGATCAGCTTCGTCCAAGAAATGAGTGGTGAACACGATGGTCCGGTCAAGGCGAACGGATGTCAAAGTCCTCCACAACGCCCGGCGGGATAATGGATCAACACCGGATGTACACTCATCCACAAGGACAATCTTGGAGCCTCCAACGAGCCCAATAGCGAGCTGCAGCTTGCGCTTCTGACCACCCGAGAGAGTACTGGCATTGGCGTGGATCTTTTTGCCGAGATCGCAGTCGCGCAGTAGCTGTTCGTAATCTTCGTCTTCATCTATCGATTTGGCAGAATGCTTCACTGCGCGCCATACGCGGAGAGTTTGGTAGCAAGAAAGTTCAGGGAATATCACATTTTTCTGAGGCACGATGCCGAGCGTTCCGCGGGGAGGACGAGACACACCACCCTCAAAGGTGATAGTTCCCGTGCTGCGCCCTAGAAGATTTCCAATGATTGATAATGCCGTTGACTTACCGGCGCTAGTCACCCCTGGTAGTTAGCCATTTTTCCATTCTGTCAAAGGTGAAACAAGACTCACCCATTTGATCCCAAAAGAACGAAGATGCCCGACTTGGGAACATCGAAAGACAAATCTGCAATGGCAGTGACCGGTCGCTTCTCACGGTGGAACAAGGAGGGGGAAAACGTCTTGCCCAAATTCCTGACAGAGATTGCAACTCCGTTGGGATGCGGAGGTCGGTCAGCCTTTTTCTGCCTGCGGCAGCACGACCAAAAGCCTGGGGACGGCTCTCTGGCGTCATAGAGCCTTCTCTCGAGTAGGACACCTAAATATGGCCATAGGAACACGTCAACCTAGACATAGGTTAAGACATTGTACACGAGATATATGCATCACGTACAATGGCAGCAATAATCAAGGGCAACAAAATTAGATTTGTATCCGGATCTGGCTTCATGATATTGGTTGGAATCTGTTGGTTTTCCCAGCCACATATAGCACGGATTGCGAAAACGTAGTATCCGGGCGGGAAGATTAGGGTAAAAATAGTCGCCGTAATCGTGCTAGCCCTGCTGAAGACTAGCGCGAGGATAGCAAATATCATAGCAAGGAATGTAGTTGCCACAGCCGCAAGCTGAGGGCTCTTGCCAAAAGGAGCCGCGACGAAGAAGGACCAACTGGCAAGCGAGAATCCAAATAGAAGGTGCACACCAAGCACCAGGCCAACATTAGTACCGCTGAAAATTTGGTAGTGCCATATGATAGAAACGACCACCCATGCGGGAAGATATGCTAGAGAGATACTAATATGCCACGATCTGAATGCCATAAGTAATCAGGGACATGCGATGCATAGCGGGTCCTTTTGAGCAGTGACGCACGCTATTCTGGCAGTATCCAGTAGACCCATAGCCTTCATGTGGCTGGTTAGAAGATTGGCTCTCTCGCCGGTGAATGACCCCGGAAGATGATACGCAATCCCGATATAACAAATAAAACTGATCCCCAATTAAAGTTGTAGGATTGTGAGTTGATGTGTTGGACTCACAATGCAATGACAATAAGATTTCGAATGCCTCTGATGTAACCTGAGACAGGAAAATGTCAGTATGCAGTCATACCATGAACGTAAACGACGTACTAAGTCTCGTATTCGTGGCCTGTTGTTGGTTGGTTTCCTGACTATATGGCCATTCCATAGGAGTAGGTACTTCCTGTCCAGATCTAAGCTCGATGATTGCCTGAGGTGAACCATTAACACTTTGAAAGGAAAAGAGAGTAAGCGAATATGATACCTGGTCTAATGCCCATTGCAACGGCAGAATACGTGTCTCGAAATCACTAGTATGACTGATTACGTTGATGTATACAAGACCACCATCGGCACTGATGGTGTAGTTGACTGGTTTCGGATCCGTGGCATTCATTGGAAGGTAATTGAACGCAATAGCGGCAAAGCACTGAGAGGTCAGGTCGAAGTTTTGTGGACATTGGGTTGGTATGTCTGCGGGTGTCGCAACCTGCATGACCGCTTGAAGTTGATTCGACGTAAAGTTACTGGTGATGTGTGCCATGACTTGTTCCGCAGAGGGTGTCCCAGTACCATTGGTTCCATCAGCCCAGACTAAGGTTAGAGAGCCGTCAAACTGATCCTGCAAATTGTAGACCGAGATCGGAGAGCCAATTCCATACTACAAGGATGTGAGACGGTGGACTCGAATAATTTGGAAATATTCTTCACATTATTTGGCTTTAAAAGAAATGTCTGTGCGACAGCGAGGAAGACTTTGTAACCGTTGTAAGGATGTGTATATTGATGAAATTGAGAGGGAGCTAGACGTACTTCCGTATCCGATCGGCAACAACAAGCAGCGCAGGATGTTCAACTATGGCATGGTCAGAGTGGCGAACGTTCCGCAGGCATAATTTTACTCACGAGCGAATGTTTAGAGAGAACGATCCAGTTCTTCCAGCACAGTATTGTAAATTGCCGGAGGAACAGACTCCCCGGAAACGCCATGATTGCCGTAACAGAAGGGATGAGGAGAGTTCGAAGAGAGGTTATATACCTCGAGGACGCAGTTTCAGGGAATACGCAGCAGCTGGTATAGCAATCTGGATTTGTCCATTGCAACACACAGGAGACGTTGCCGCATCGGTACCTATCGTGAGACGCAGAGAACTTAGAGTTAGAATTTTACAAGGTTCCCCTTAGTAAGTATAGTTCTACTGTATTAATGATTGACGTACAGATCAGATTCTCGTCTAACATTCCTTCCAAGTGCTCGTCCTGGTCGGTTCTATCGTCGTCAAGTACTGGTAAGTAACTTGCAGTCTGAACTAATATTTCATTCAGGACCATTTGTCGCATGGGTGTTGGAGGCGGCGTGCGAAGCCAATGGCGTTTTTCTTAGCCTTGCTATGTTAGTAGTATCCATCCGCGCCTAGTGGGTTACGGGCAGACATGTGAAGACAGGAGAAAATCACCGGTGACGTACACAGCCCGTTCTGCCTTCCGTCGGAGTTCAACCGCTTACTGAAATTACTCAGCATTTTGCACTTTAGATCCCGCCCGTAGTTACTTGGAGCGAAGAATGCACTTCATCATTCCTTCCTCGTAAGTTGACGCTGACCGGCCAATGAACTTGGTTGTCTCAAATATCCAATTTGCACCAATTCTTACATAAATCGAAGGACATGCCGTGCCTGGTCAATGTGACAAATTTTGTGCCATATCTCTACCAAAACTCTATATTTCCTACAACCCAAAATGTGATTACTAAAATAGGCAGAGTTGAGAGACAAAAAACAATACCTCAAAAGTCGCATCTCCCTTGTAATGCTAGGACACTTAGGGCTACACACTCCACAATTTACTTTACATGTCAAACAAGGGTTTTTTATTGAGTGACTGGATACCATTAGCCCATTTCACTGTAGTAGAACCGTCCTAGCCCAAATTTGCATGACAGCTTCAGTGAAATGGTTGCTAATGCCGCACCAGATGGTGACCCTAACTAGGAGCGTTCAATCATGTTGCGTTCGATTTGGATACTTTTGGACGTCGCTTTCGACTCACCCAATCGTGTATGATAACGCGATAACGCGCTATCTGCGCGGCTTCATTCTCCCGAGTCCTGCGTTGTCGCTTTTTTTGGTTGCCGCCACTTCTTCATTAGGGATCGGAACAGTCACACAGCGGGATATCTCACATCGCGCCTATATGCATTCCCGTGGTGTTTTCTCCCAAGAACCGCTTGGTACTATGTGGTACATGGATTGCAACGATACAGTGCCCACTGCTGTCACCTAGAACTAGTCTGGAATATTCTTGCAAGCAATCTTAATCAAGATGCGGTTTGACATCGGATGCGCGCTCCAAAGGTTATGTAAACCCCACACAGCCGATATGACTATTCCGGGGGATGGAAGAGCCTGTGAAAATGAGGAAGTTAGAGAAAGGGACAGTCTGCGCTATTAACTGGTCCTCGGATAACTTGTGAGTTAATCGAGGTACATACAAGGCCGCCATTGGTGTGCCTGGCACAGAAGTTCTGCTTGAACTCGGGGCCGCTGACTTAATATAGTGCGCGTTGGTTGTGATCGGCATCGACTGACGGCAGGAGTCGAGAATCATGCAAAGTGCTTCGCTAACCACTCTGCGGATGTCCTGGAATGTGGCCTGGATGTCTGACAGGCCTTCAAAGTACTCGCCTAGAATCTATAGGACGCCAAGAAAGGTTTTGATCGCTGTCAGAGCTTGGGTGAGCTTGTTGCATATGAATTGCCAGTTGTGCTGTGAGTGCCAGGACCAGGAGGGGGAAACCAGACAAAGGCCATGACGTCAAACGCAGAGGGATTGATGTCCCCAAGGAATTTCATGAGTATGTAGAAAACCCTTCAAAAAACTTGACCGCTAACACGTGGATCGATTGGTTTAAAAGTTGCCTGTACTCCGGAGCCTTTGAATTAGTATACGGTAACGTGCACATTTCAGATGGAATCGCTAGGATAATAGATCCACGTACAGGACGAGAATCATCTCCCGCTTAAGCTTCCCGTTCTCACCATACTTGGGACACACCTCCCGGTAGAAGTAAGGCAGCTTTCCCTGCTCGTTTAATCATTGGCATTATGCGGACTACAGGATAGATCGTCGATCAAGGAACATACCACCATTAATCGTCGATACAATAATCTCGCGTGTCTAATCTCTCTTCATCAGCACCTTTCTCGAGAGACACTCTAAGCTCCTGGATTGGTTCTTTGTGGTATCTTCAGATACGACTGTGTAGTATGGTGCCACTCCTGCCATGATGATTTGGACGACATGGCTGACAGCGAACTCGAGCCTTCGTCCAGGATCGCACGCAATATTTGGTGGGTAGAAAAGCGTGAGAAAAAAACTTCCGAATACGCATTGTATGAACTACTCTTCCACTTCACTCCAGCCTTATAAAGTATGAGCTCTAACTAATTCGTGTTCTACTTCAAATAACCCTGTGTTCTTGAATCACACTCTCATGGCATTTCTCGGCCTCCGCGAGTGGTCCATTTCTGCATGTTCCATTTCTCGTGCTGCAAGTGCCTTTCGCTGGCCAGCCGTGTTGAATGTTTTGCCCTAGCAGCGAGCGTATTCACCTTTCACCTTGCCTCGGAGAAGCAGGATAAATATTCGTTGTACGTTGTTACTTTGACCTCGAAAGGGTGTTACAGCGGAGACGTGCGCCAAGGATCCTCAAAACTCATACGGTGCTCGAATTGCCAAGGAGGCACATAATTAGAAGGCAGTTTGACTTCCTACGGGGTATTAGGCGCGTTCAATCACACCCTTTTTCAATGGGCTGATAGCTCATCCGTCGCTTCCTTGTACTAAGCTGTAGACTCTTTCTTAGAACCAGATATCCTTAATTTTGGAGAAATCATGATGCAAAACACGATGTTCGTTGCAGAGATCTTCTTGTGTGCCATGCGTGATTTATAGCACACGCTCAGCTGAGAGAAGCAATCGGTACTTTATTTTGGACGATAGGCATTGTTTTAATATATTGACTGATTTCTGCCAGATGGAGTGTGTGCCGAGTTGCGCACTCGTAAAATGGCTAATGGAACAATTACCTGGATAAGATGTTATGAGCACTTTGAATACCATGGTCAACCTGTAAGTACACCGCGTTGTGAATGCATAACACGATAGGCAGTCTATTTACGTAACATCTTCCGCATGATTCATAGACCCATTTAGACTTTTATACTCGTGTCATCTTGGATGACGAATGATGCGTCAGGCCGGTTTGTGAGGAACCAGGGACGGACGCACCCACACAATGCATGGCAGTTGATGCCATCATGCTTGTGATTCATGAACCGGGTCGGGTTCAGTTCATTATTTACGGATCTCAGGGAATGGTGCGTGCTGGATAGCATTTTAGCAACCGGCATCGCTGAACCTTTCCACGCTGCCCAACCAGTATCACTGACATGTCTGCTTCCCCAGACTATTACACGGAAGACAAGGAGAATGCCCTTAGCTCGATTGAAGATGGACTTGAAGTTTTGCACGCTGAGGCAGCACCAGATCGTGTGATCGCAAGCCGTTTTGGTGTACTTGGCCCACTTCTTTCAAGACTCTTTGCCATTGGTGTCGAAGCTCGTGGAATAGAGCGTGTACCGGAAGACCAGAGAGAGTCGAAAAATGCTTGGAACAAGTGCGTATATTATGTTGCGCTCGTACTATGCCTGTCCTGAGCCCAATGTAGTCTTCTCATGTGGTGGTCAGTTCGATTTGATCCAAAACATTGTTTTGTTCTCATGTTCCCTTCCCTTCATTTTTGCGCAGGTCCGTTAATGCAGTGTTGACTACCATTCCTATCGGGGGGCTCGCACAGTCCGCTTTCACTTTGAGTTTTGGGTATGTTTACTCACTACATCATGATGCCGCTTCTTACCCATGCTTATGCTCTCAAGCCACGCTGTAGCAACTATTTTCTGTTTTGGCGCTCTCGGCGGCATTGCAACAGCATTCATTGCTACCCTCGGCCCCATAACTGGTCTCCGCACCATGGTTATCACCCGTTTCAGTTCAGGATACGTTGGCGGCACCATTTACTCGGTCCTCAACATCCTCACACAGTGCGGCGATTCTCGTTTACATGCACATTATCTCACTGATCGTACCTAGGCTCGGCTTTTCCACAACAGCAGTCATTCTCGGAGGTCAGACGCTAGCCAATATCAATCCTGGCACCCTTCCGCTCGTCGTTGGCATCATTATCATTGGTGTGTGTTGCCTCATCCCGTGTTTTATCGGGTACGACATGGTACACGTCTACGAACGCTACGCATGGATAATCGCCAGTGTCATAATGCTTTTCCTCTGGGGTCTTGGTGGCAAAGCCGGATATGACATAAACGCGCAGAAATCTATCGAAGACACAGGGCGTGCTCTCTCAGCAGATATTCTCGGCTTTGGCGGAATCGTATTCGGCTCATTTACAGGGGTGAGTCTACCCAGCATCTCTCTTGTATCACAACAGGGGCTAAATACTGCGAACCTTTATCCACCAGTGGGCTCCAGTAGCTGCAGATTATAATTGCCGACTACCGGCTGATACGCCACCCATGCGTGTATTCCTGCTTACATTCTTCGGCCTGTTCATCCCTATCTGCTTTGTCCAGATCCTTGGCGCAGCCCTTATGACAATCACAGATCCGGCATACGTCTTAGCATACGCAGATGGATCGACAGGCGGCCTAATCGCGCAAGTTCTCTCCCCTTGGGGTCACTTTGGCCAATTCATCCTCGTCCTTCTCGCACTTACTGTCGTGTAAGAGAACGGCTCAATACCTTCTTGTATACACTAATCTAGGAATAGCGCTAACAATATCCCAAATACCTACTCCACCGGCCTGTCAATACAAGCCCTGGGACGCCCATTCGCCATCATCCCGCGCTTCTTCTGGGTTTTCATGGCTTTCGTCGCATATACAGTAGCAGGCGTCGTAGGCCGCGAACACTTCAACGCCATCCTTTCTAATTTCCTCAGTATTCTCAGTTACTGGACGGCTTTCTTCATCGTGATCGTAGCCGAAGAGCACTTCATCTTCAGACGGAAGAACGGACCGCTCGGAGGTTACAATTTGGATGATTACGATACGCCGTCAAAGTGAGTCTACTGGTTTTGGGTGAAGATGTGATTGACCCTGTTATATCTTCAAGGTTGCCACCAGGCATAGCAGGTGTACTCGCAATGGGCTTTGGAATCGCAGGTGCTGTCGTTGGGATGTCAGAGGTATGTCATTTCCCTGCCTTAGCCTCGTACACTGATACATCTCCTCGTTCATAGGTGTGGTATACAGGACCGCTTGGGAAGATGGCAGGAGCGGCGTACGGCGCTGATCTTGGGTTCGAGGTATGATTGATTCTTTCGTCGATTGAACACGCGCTCACAAAATTTTCATATAGCTCGCAGCTGCTTTCTCGGCTGTTACTTATCTTCCGCTGCGTGCACTTGAGATTAAGCTCATTGGACGATAAGGGAGATCCGCTGTACTAAACTGGTGTCAAGGCTGTAAGTTAATAATCATGGATCGTATGAAGACGGGCTGGGTAGATTATATACCCTGTAGTGTTTGATTTCGGTTGAAATCACAGGTGTATAGTGTGCTTGTAATGGTATTGATGTTGTGCTGGACACTCTTATGATAATTCTGGAATTTCTTTTGTAACAGTGCCTTCTGCTTCCCGAGTCTCATATATAGGTTGATGTCCTGGAAGGTATAGTGGAGACTATGGGACCAATATCACCTCCTTCCATCTCTCATCATCTGATTCCTGTCTAACGAACTTTGTCCTCCGGTTAGGCATAACTCCAAGTTCGATATAGTCAACTTCAATGGGATCAATCAGAACCAACGCAAAGTTTCCTCTGGCTTCCTCGTAATTCTTAGCATCATACCCTTCCTCTCCGGGTTTCGCAACTGTGACAGGCCACTTTTCTGCATCGCTATAAGAGTCCATGGGGGAACCCGGAACAGGCCGGCACCACGATGCGCGCATGTGTGCACCGACGTTATCAAATTGCCTCTGTCGCTCGTCCTCCCAGTCCCACCCCTGACTCCGAAATGCATCATAAACCTCTCCCACGCCCTCGATTCCTTCGTTCTCCTTAAGTCCGGGTGAGGGGTAGATAGCCGCATGTCCAGAGACGCGGAATTGCTCGTTCGTGGCTTTGATCCAGAAGTGCGCTTCTACGCGATGGCTAGGGATGGACTTGATCTGGGCGACCTTTGGAGTGCGGATGTCTGTGGTTGTGAGGAGTAGGGGTAGAGAAGGCAGGGATGGATGGATGATGTGCCCCCTGAGGATGTGGCAACGAACGTGTGGAGTAGCGTTGTTGAAGTCGGTAGTTGCGAGCTGAAAGACTAGTTCGAATGATGATATTGGTCCGTGTCTCGATTCTCGTGGGGTGTGGTTGGGAGCTCACCATCTTTCATGCCGCCTTCCTTTTGCATAGCGAGCTTGAGAGCGTTGTGCCAGCGTGCGCTGCGAGTAGCCATGATAAAACAAGTGATTCGAGTGTACAAGTTAGACTATGACCGTGACGGTAATAGGATGGAGATATTGGAGCAACACTGAAGCTGTCCAGCTAAGGCAAACAATAAATTCATATATGCTACGCAAAAACCACTACCAAATACGCTCGAACTGGAGATATGATTCGGTAGACGCCTAACCCATCACATAGGCTTGCTGGGGAGCTGGGTTAACAGGACGCCATAGCGCTTTTTAAGAGTAACGCGGTGTCTCGAGAATTTATCATCGGGCGAGAAACGTGCTGTATAGACAAAGAATATTATCAGTATACTGATCAATGCACATTCTTGAGCCAGGAAAAATGGCATCAGGGGAGACGAACCTGGATGTGCAGACTTGGTAATTCGGCCTGTATCTGTTGCTTTCTGAAACAGCGAGTCAGACAAGAGCTACTCTATGATAGCGAAGGTGCTCACATTCAGAGTGTATATCCTGTTCCCACTCTCGTCTAGCGTATACATAAGATGCATGATGACTTGTGAATGGCAACTCGTTGAACTTGGGATGATGAGCACAAAACAAAATAATTTCTAGTGTTCTCACGCTGCCAGAAATGAGTATCGTTACAGCAGAGTCCTGCCAAAACTTTCTCTGGTATAGACTCAGTAAACCATACTCTCTTGACTTTTGCTACATAGCGTCTCTCGATGCTTCATTGCACTGTGATGTGCACTGCAGTACGCACGCGATAACATGTGCCTATGAACCAATAGGAATCAATATGTGTGTGGCTCAGCGAATGGTTAGCGCTTCAAATTGAAGTCAGCGTGCCGCGTGCCGCGTGCTGGCCATCATGCATCATACCTCGAACGTTCTTCGGAGTTCTGCCAAAGGATCATCGATGAGACACCCATTCCCTTTTCACATTACTTCTCAGTGTACCTCACCGTTTCTCTCACACTGATCCACTTGCAATGTGTGAAGACCATAGGCTAAATACCATTGATTCTCCTCCAGATCCAGCCGGGGAAATGTTGCTGAAAGCTCAGTATGTGGTCTCTTGAAATTCATCGCTTCCCTTATGCATTATTCGTCCAGCAACCCCGTAAAGGATTCTGTCAGTCCCTGCAGAAATTGAAGAATGGGTTAACCAAAAAACTTCCTGTGCGTAGACGTGAAGGTTGGTTGTTCTGAATACAGCTGAGTTTGTACAGAAACACCCTAAGCGAACACACAACCGCACCACTGCGGTCCAGAACGTTGACATTGAAGGGGCTTTGTTGAGTCAGAAGTCGAGGTAAGTGCTCGAGCTTGCTATCCTAGTCCTTCTGTTTTCTTATAGGCCACTCTATCCTTCCAACGACAACAAGCATCTCACCACATCTCAGATTCCCAGCGACTCCGTGAACCAAGGGCTGTCTGGAGAGCCTGCTTCACAGGTATTTTCGTCCAATACTTTGACTTTCTTCTCTAATATCGGCGGTCCCACTAGTTCAGGCTACTCCTTCCGGCGAGGAGGAAGAACCTGATCCTCAATTAGTTGATGTTGAACTTCAGGGTGCTTGTGATGGTATGCAAAGCATGGAATTACTCGGGAAACATGCAGCTCCTATGAAATCCGCCGCCGGCAATGCCTCAGCGAGTCTTGCTGTCGCAGATGATTTTGAGGCGGCGTATCTCCAACCCCTAAAGATGATCGGTAGTGTCCTTGAGAAGATTGCGGATGTATGGATGATTCTTCTTGATTGGAACTGAACTGATCAAATTGTATAGGTACATCCATACGCAAAGACGGTACTGGGTATGCTATCTGCTGTATCCAAAGTATGTTTGGTTTCTCCCGCAGTCCATTCTCATACTCAAAAGTTCCAATTCCATGCAGATTATGATTGCCCAAGCAGAGTGGGACAAATATACTCTTAATCTTCTCAAGAAGTTGGCTGATTGATCGAGACGTGGCCGTCTTTGTCTAACGTACGGGTAAGGATTGTGATACGCTTATTGTCTTTTACATTTACTCACACCGTTTCAGGTGATACCCTGGATCTCGGGGATCTCGCTTATGCAAAGGGCGCAGGACTACATACCATGAAACAGTGCCTACCAGGGACGCGCACGGAGATTTCTTCCCAGATTACAGACTGGATCAACGGCAGTGGAATGCTGCTAAACGTATGCTGCGGCTATCTGGCCCTGCAGGCACAGGCATATCAGCCATCGCTCGACCGATTGCCAAGGGGTTCAGTGACATGGGAGTGCTCGATTCATGTTTCTGCTTCAACAAGGCCGAGAAACGTCATGAAAAAGTTTTTTCCACCATTGTTCATGGCCTAGCTGATCGTAATGCGGAGATGAGACGAGCATTGGCGGATGCGGTTAAAAATTCCACTTCACTTAAGAACTCAGGATATTTTCCAGCAGGGAGAAACTTCTCATGGAACTATTGAAGAAATTCTCTACGTGAAGTGTGGGACCTGTCTTGATCGTGATGGAAGCGCTGGACGAAAGTGGCGGAGTGGAGACGCGGGGGGACCTTACTTGCCAATAAACTTCAGAACAAAGGTCTTCCCCAAGTCACAGAACTCCCATCCAACTTTCGGATATTCTCGTTACCTCTCGTCCACTTCATGATATCGAAGATGTATTTCACGGCACTCAGCATATTCTATGGTTATCCATGGACGAGATTCCAGCAACAGTAGCGAAGCACACGTTCGTATCTGAGGAGCTCAAGGGGCCATCGGATCTTGGCGACAGAGAGTTTGCAAATCTTGCTGCGAAAGCTGATGGACTTGTTGAGTGGGCACGTCTCGCCTGTGAATACATCAAAGATACGCCCCCAGGTGTATGCCACATGCCTCGCTTCAATACTCTCGTAAGCCGCAGTGCCAGAAAGCAGAAAAACGTGCTGCACGATATGTATTGAGACAAAGGTAGGCGTCGACAACGTTCAATGTCATCTTTTTAAAGCAGGTAAAGCGGATAGCACCAAGGGTGCGTATGTCGTACATAAGGGTGAGTGAGTTCGTCAGAGATGTGGAAGATGATTTGATATGAGTGTGCGATCCAGGATGACAGTGAAATTCAAAAACTAAAGTCCAATCAAGTCCAACACATACACAGACCCATTGGATGGGAGACAGTTGTTCTATTCAAGAAATCCTGATCGTTCGAGGATTTCTGCCACCCGCGTCCACCGGTGGGTGTAGAAAGTGAAATATTGGCGCTGACGGTCCAGCACACTGGCACTGGTAGGAACCATCGGTTCAGAAATAAGAATGGTGGTCCTAAGTCCTGTAGCATATGTAGTCGTTAGTTCTGTATAATGTGGTGGGAAAAAGGAATTGGGTGTTTGGACCTTGGTGCAAGCCTGAGCCGCTGGCTCTATTTGGTCCGACGTCTGCTTTTTTTCATATTGAATCTTGATCCCATTGCTGCACAACTTATTAGACGCGTGTCAAGCCTATCCGCGCGCCCGTGACATTTATGTAAACAAGAATGCCAACAACACAGCCTATCCGAGTCTGAGATGGACTGCCGCGTGTTATGCATCTGAGCCTAACCCTGCAAGTCCGTACTTATGATTCCTTCAAGTTCAATGGCACAACTCAGTCAGGTGGGTACCTCGTTTTTATGTTAGCTTGTTCCTCACCGTGGCATCCAAGCAGTTCCCGGGTAATCCTGAAGGGTTTACACTATTACCTAGTGGTGCTCCAACCAGTGGTACTATTGCGACTCACCGTCTGCTCTCCACCCATACTAGTTTGCCCCTTGCTGGAATTATTGGAGGGATTTCTCTTGGAATTTTGGCTGTCGGGCTATTGATCGTCCGCACACGCAAACTCAAAGAGAATGCCGCATCTGCTGGGACCTCTGAATCCTCACCTCTCCTAGTTCAATATCAAGCACCACTTAATCTTCAGGTGGGGAGCTCGATGAAATTTCCGCATACCCAGCGCAGTGGACTGATTAAAGAGGATGGATAGACTTATACTGCCAAGTTAGAAAACGACATATTACTTTGTTCCGTCTGTGCAAAGCTGGATTTTTACAGGATCCTCCTTTATGGCATCCACGAGCTGGAGCCGATACCACTCGGTTCACTGTCATCTATTTTCGAAAAATCTTATCAGTGCAGTTTCTGTCGCCTCATCTCACTGTATGTCCGTCAGACACGGATTATGGAGGACTTTCCTCACATTGATATCTCAGAGATTGAATGTGGGGTCCACACGACGCTTTGTGGTGCTCTTCGGAGGGGACCTCATCCCCCACTCCGTTATGGCCGCCGCCTCTACATCACCGGGAACGGCCTCTGGCAGACACATCCCGCTTTCAGGGCAGTGGGTCCATTATTCATTCATCTCATGCAAGAAGATGCTTCCAAGTTTGGGAGACCGGTCGATCTTCATGGTCGCAGGGTGAAAAACACGGTGGATGTCGGTCTGGTGAAGAAATGGATTAAGTTGTGTCAAGAAAACCATGGAGATAAATGTCGGAATGTTTGGAGAATGGACAGAAACCTGCCGGAGTTCGTGAGAGTGGTGGACGTAGTATCGATGGCCGTGATCCCTGCACCTTCTCACCGTTTTCGTCACGTCGCCCTCAGTTATGTATGGGGAGGCAACGGTGCAGAGTATTGGACGACAAAGGATAATATAGCAAAGCGCTCCATACCTGGCGGATTGAATGCGGCAAACCTCCCTGACACCATTACAGACTCGATTTCATTCGTGCGACAACTTGGTGAACGTTACGTATGGATCGACGCTCTGTGCATCATTCAAGATGATTTGCAGGACAAGATCAGTCAGCTGCACGCTATGGATTCGGTCTATGGCCTGTCTTATTTCACGTTAATTGCTGCTGGCGGAAAAACAGCTCGAGACCCTCTCCCAGGGTGCCGTCCACGAACTAGAACGCCGCAAATACATATCGAAGTCGTCCAAGGACTTCATCTCTTTGTGACTCCTCCAACACATGAGAAGGCTCTCGGAATGTCCGCTTGGATTACGCGTTGTTGGACCTATCAAGAGAGCGCGCTGTCCTGCCGAAGGATATACTTCACTGAGCAGCAGGTCTACTTTGAGTGCCGATGTCAGGTTTTCTGTGAAAACATCGTCGCGGAAAGTAAGGCCGACTTCTGCAGGAGCTTTCTTCGGCATTCACGGGAAGAATATTTCCCATTCTCAACTGACTCCTTCTGGAGTTACAAGTATGCCGTTGAGAGGTGCACACGACGTAATCTCACCGTCGAATCAGACATTGTCGATGCTCTCACTGGAGTGACAAATGCTTTGGTAGTAGCATTTGGACTCGGCGACCCCGCTAGAGCTTTTCAATATGGAATGATGTTGACGGAGCTGCATCACGCACTTCTCTGGCAACATGATCCACTTACACCTCGCACTCGTCGTTCGCTTGCTGAAGGAAGCAACTCATCTTGACCTTCTTGGGCATGGGCGACATGGTGTGGTGCTGTTATCTACATGTCACGGGGTGTGTATAGGCAGACTAGGGTTGTTGGTTATAGCAGCGAAGTGTTGGTGGATGAGACGCTTGTGGATGTTTGGTACATCGTGGACCATGGTGGCGGTATAGTGCCCCTCAATGTTCAGAGGGTGTCACGAGTTTATTGGATAGAGGAAGAGCAGCCCCCGTATTCCTCTCCGGGAAGGACCTTGGACCCAACAGCGATGCCATTGGACACTCATCGACCACTAAAACCAGGCACTCTCATTTTTTGCACGACTTCCAGCCACTTTGCCATTACAAGGCGAGGTGGTGAATCAAATGAAGAATCGAGCCCTGCCGACCACTATGGTCTCTTTAATATCCTCTCCGCCACGTCTTCTCCCACTTGGGTTGGCACTGTCATCCTGCCATTGAACCCTGCCCCGCCAAGTTCTCTCGAATTCATCGTGCTTTCCCGTTGTGATGGTATGCACGGCTTGTACGATGAAGAGAGTATCAAGCCTTACCGTGGGTGCTTGCTACATGTGATGGCGGTTAGTGAGAATGAGGGCTTGATGGAACGTGCTGGATTGGGCATCATTCATATCGTTGCCTGGGTTGCTTCAACGCCGGAGGAGAAGGTGGTGTTTCTCCGATAATGGCTGGCAGTGATAGTTTGGGTTCAACTTCGATTGTTCAAAGCGAGAATTTACTGTCTTTCAATTTGTTGACTCGCTGGTATTGTACAGTTACGTGTGACCTTAGCTTCAGCGTTCCCGTGTTGGTCGTGATGCCACTGATCGGAACCAGTCTGTTACAGTACATCATAATGGTGCTTGCGCCCCAATTCCCCGACGCCATTTTGAATTGGCGCTCAGGATATGGGTCAGTACTAGTGATTTAGATCTGTGGCCCAATTCATGCGATCCGGGGCTAGTACGTTTATTGGCATCCCAAAATGGCATGGCAATGGCGGCGATATCGGCTCGGCTCGTTCCTCGGCTGGCCGACATCATGACATGCTCACTACGACAGAGTCTCTAGTGCTTCAATTTTTCAACCAATGGCGAGTGCATGCAACGTGTCAGTACTTCAGTCGTTGAACCGGTGAAAATCGAAGTATCGAGCCGTGGAAAAAACTAGCTATAAATCTTTTTGATGATGGGAATTTTTTTGTGCTCGACAGTCTCCCGAGGACTACTAGTACTTATTGGTAGTATCGTTGGATGTCAGGAAAGAGACCGGGGGTCTGCCATGTACTAGTCTGCATCCATGTAAGTACATAATATCCTACAAGTATAACATCCTCTGTGAAACAGGAAATATGAGATAATAAGACTTAGTTGCATCGCGCGTGTTGTTGTTATCATTACACTTCATGTTCTTCAGCTAACTCGTGCCCTCTTTGTAGCACCGCCATCCTCCTCTTCCTCCTCTTCTTCGTCTCCTTCGCTGATTTCGTCCGCATAACGTTTCACGCCGCCAGCAGAAGTGGGAGGCTCGTCTTCGTCTTCCTCGAAATACTCGTCATCGTCCTCGGCGTCCTCATCGTCATCAGCAGTAGCGGCCGAGACTGATGTGCCATTCTGGAGGAATTGCATGAGCCTCCTATGGAGAAAGAAAACGATGTATACGTACCTCGCCAACTAGTAGCGCCGTCAAACTTGGTTTGCTCTGTACCAATAACTCAACATTCTTCAAGAGGCGACAGACCAGGATTCAACATACCCTTGATGCGGCACCTCCTTCCTCTTCATCCTCCCCTTCATCTTCGTCTTCTTCAGCTCCGACTGGGTGGGGCGAGCCACCTTGTTCTTCTTCGCCCTGTTTTCATAAAACGTTGACGGAGCAATTGAAAAGGAGGTAGACACAATTGTTGTGCGAAAACGAGAGCGAGTTTAGATGCACAGAATATAAGAATAATATCAGAAAATAATATGCAGACCTCGACCTCATATTCATCGCTCTCCTCGCCTTCGTCAACCTCCTCCGGCTCTTCTCCAGGGACTGTAGGCTCTAGCGTGGGGTCAGGGGACATTTTCGGGGCTGTGAAAAGTATGACGCAGAGCCTTAAGGAATTGTGTTCGATGCTGGTTGAATTTTAACCAGCTGTGAACGGGGAAGCGAGAAAAAGATTAGCGCCATGGTGACATAGCGAAATGATGGTTCTCACCCCAGGGTAGGTAGCTGACGAACGTTTGGTCCTGTGCTCAACACGTCGCACGCTCAGAAAAGGTCGCCGTCCCAGGGGGATTGCTGTCTTTGGATGAGGCGGGAGGTCGTTGCGTTGGGGGGTCGTTCACACCATCTAAACTTACTAACCCTTATTTCTTCTCAATCTTCAGGGTAAACATGGATTGCGTCCTCTCCCGACGGTACGCCGAATTTACTCATACCATTCGTGCTAATTAAATAATACCTAGGAGATTTATCTTGGTTCATTGCGCAATCTAACGAAGATACCCTGGTCCGCTCGCTAGAGACTAGCTAATGGTGATCTTGTCAGCACCCGCCGAATTCGGGGTATGATCGATCCTCAATATCAACACTAGTTTCATTATCTGGCAGCCGATATGAAATTGATTTTATATGGCTCGGCAAAAACATGGAAACTGATGCGAAACAACTCGCGGAAGTTTATGCAGACTTTGCTGTGTATTGAGTGCAATCTGGACGCTTCATGTTGACTCCCGCATCAACCACCCGAGGCGAGTCCTATGAATGCAGTAAGTGAACAAGATCAACCTATGATTTACTCGCCTCTGACGTCAGACGCTTCGTCAGCAATCCAAGTTTTGTTAGGAGTAGATTGGTCACACTATCATACAGGGGCCCCTATTGGCCCTCATTTAAGACAACTGTCTTCTGCAAAACATTATCCATCTCTTCAACGTTCGAACGTTCAACACTCACGCAACATGGTTATCAAGATCGTCCGATGGTGTGTCTTGAGTGCGTCGTTATTTCCCTACACGTCGTCAACTAGCTCATCTTCATCGCAGCGTTCACTCTCATCTTCGCAATCGTGGTGCTCGGTATAAGTGCACACCTCATCGCCATCCGACCTACACACTACTGGCATTTTGCTGCCCTTGCAGTCGCAGTCTCTTCCCTGACAATTCTGACATTCCCTGTTATGTGCGTTTTCTTCCCAATTGGCCGAGCTAGCACTCATTTATGGTCGCAAAATTCAGTCTCCTGGTCGATACCTTCCTAGGTAGCGCTTCAACAGAACGAATCTTTGGCGAGGCTCTTTGGCTAAGTATGTACCTCTTGACTTCCAATATCATTTTCAATGATTATTTACGATTTTTACGATTCTGAAGGTATCATGTGGATTTTGTGGCTCGCAACTGGAGCTAACGCCACTCATGCGGCTCGCGTACACTTCTTCGCAGGTGGTTGTAGTTTCTGTAAGTACCATATTTCCAGAACGGGGTCGCTTTTCTGATCATGTTATCTTCACCTTCGCTTCTCAGTCTCTGGCTTTTCCAGTAAGATTTGCAATGAGTTCAGGGTCGTGGAAGCTTTCGCTTATATCAACTTCATCATCCGTGCGTCTTTCCCCTTTTTATTTTTCTGTTTCTTAAGGGACATTTTCAGTGCTTTGCTATACAATCGGGTTATTCGCGTATGAGTTTACGCGCGACCAATCTCAGGCTGGGCAGGGTGCTACGGGTTCTCAAACCACTCAGAAGCAAGCTCCTCCCAACACGACAGGTCAGTAGCGGCGAATTGCTACATCAAGCCATGCAACTGATTTTGCGCATGATCAACAGCTGTCTGAACGTGAATCGTCGAACGTCAACTTCCCCGAGCATTGCGTAGGAAATTGGCTTGCAACGTAGTTTCTATCTTTGTTCAGAAAATTAATACTCTAATTTTTGTATGCATAGTCATCGTTTACAATGTTACGTAATTGCTCTCGAGACAAGATGTCCGATTTATTGTGACTCAACTCGTCGGTTTGTGATGTGCATTGAGTGCCCACTCTGCTTCCTTCGCCGTTCGCAGCCTAGATCCACACTTGAGTCACTGGAATTTCTTCTCGTTCTTCTCCAACTTCCGTGAGTGAGATATATTAGATTTTGAAGGTCTCAGGCTATTTGCTAAGTCACCAACTTCAGATTTGACTCATTGGTATTTCTTCTCAAGTTGCCAAATTTGACCACCCGAAGTTCTCTCGTCTTGTCAGACAAACCGGGAACCCCCAGCACACTGGAATACTTGACTTGTCTGATTAAAGCTTTTCACCTCCGAATGCTCATCGCGGTGAACCAATGCTAACGTTCTTCTGCTTCTAGCTCGCAGAACTGAGGGTCGCAGAATGCCGCTGATAACAAAGACAGCCTCGTGTATGTCACGCTAGTCGGCCAACGTCAGACTTATCAGCAACTAGGCTAGTTTAGCACTCACTTGGAAGGCACATGCTAATCTGGCCAAGTCGTACGATTCTGAAGGCATACCGCAACGAGGTACAACAGGTTGACATCAGAAAGCAGCCTTTACCCATTCTGCTGTGACAGGCCACTCTATTCCGCCTCGTGTTGCTTGCGCTATCAGGACGCCCTATTGTCCACAGAACGATCTACGGGCAAATCGGATCTCTCTGCGACGGATCACGGTGACCCGACTTTCTCCATGTTTGAGCCATTTCCGTTGCACGTTTCTGACGGATCGCTCCGTGATGACTCTTCTTTTAAACACGTTTGTGTTATCCAGCAGCCAGCTCCGGGCATTATTGTCTTGTCTTACACATCGATGGAACATCTGCGACTATCATGGAAGTATATGTGTACTGCGTTCGTATTCCGCCTGTGTTATTTTGAGCCATTGAGCTTTATTAGGAGCGTGTCAAGTCTTTTCTATGCTGAGCACTGAGCGCTGATTGGACGAGTGGTCCCCTTGTACAGCATGTCATAGCAACAACTGTGTCGTAGCGTGACTGCTTTCGTATCGCTGCGTTATCAGCTACCATCGAGCTATTTGTTGCGTAGGTCGGCACCGGTGCTGCACAGTAACATACAGCTCAGATGGCATTCTAGTGCGTATTTTGCCAGGTCCGAAGAACTAAAATTGCAGTGACGCTTTTAGCAGTCTATCGCCGACGGCGTGCGCAGCAGTCCATTAGCGTGATATAGAGGTTTTTTCGCATGAGCATGATCTACGAGTCTAGAATTTGCCATGAGTTAGATGCTTCGCGATGTTGTCGAGGAGTTTAATTATTGTACGATATGATGATCAGTGTCCTGCGCCACACAGATCAAACCCTGCCTGCATGCGGGGTAAAGGTGAGTTATCAACTAGCCCTATTTCATGCAAGTACTGATCACGTACACGGTAAACGGTTTCAGATGGGTCTTGTGATTTGTGTAGCAAGAGCTGTGGGTCTCGCACAGGAACAACAACTTAAGCCCAAGCACCACGAGAGAATATGCCTGATGTGAACATGGCACTAATTTGTCATGTTACAGTTCGGTCTCATCTGAGCGAGTGAGCTGGATTGTGTTCTGGGCGCTCGCAAACATCCGTGATTCTGTTATCACCAAGGTGATTCTGGTATCGGTTCTCAGCGACTGCCACTAGTTCGGATGGGCCTGGAGACGAGTGTGGTTCACTTCGATGGGCGGTCCCGTTCTGGTGTTGTGCTTGCTTTGAT